TATTACACTATTTTATCTCATAAACTAAAGCCGTAATTTTGTATCGTTTCATAAACGATTTACTATATACATGTATATGAGACAAAATGTCCATTTGAAATTTTAGTAAAATATTTAAACACTTTCTCATACATTAATATAATATTATAATATTAATTTGGCTTTGCTGCATATGCATAATGATATTATTGTATCCATTGATGAAACAATCAATAAATTTGCAAAAATGAAAAAAAGAAATTTCGAATTAGTTATTTGACTACTTACCAACCTTACGTTTTCTACTTAGATATTTGTTAAATTAAGATACCTATCTTATTTTTTTAAAATTTTTAAAAAATAATTAATAGGTACTATTACTACTATGATTATTTATTATTATTTCATACAAGATACATATTGAAGGTACAATTTTAATATAGGAACTATTTGTGTTGTTATTAATACTTATTTTTTACTAGCTGTCCCGACACGGCGTTGCCCGCGTATTAGTTGGTTTTTTGGCATTTTCGTAGGCCATGTATTAGTGTTATTATGTATGAGAAAATTTAAAAGTAATAGGTAAAGTATCTAAATGTTGAAATTAAGTACAAACCAACATATATATTTTCTGAATTTACGTCGTACCGAACTTCGCATTTTATACCTTTGAACATTTCTCGAAAATTCTATAACTTTCTTCATTACAACAATTGCAATGCAAAAAATAATATTGAGATAAAAACTATCCTATATATTTATTACAATAATTGTAATGCAAAAAATAATATTAAGATAAAAACCATAGATTAGGTTAGTTATATAATTCTCGGAACAATTCATATCTACACGCCGCCGACGATAAAACACAAACAATAGAAAAAAGGTCAGATTACAGGTAGCTATATAGATACTGTCGCGGTCGGTCACGGGAAAACCCGAAATACACCATGCAATTATACACATTAAAATATTTAAAATATTAAAAATTTGAAAAAAAACTATCCTATATTTTAAGTTGGACCAAATTACACACGGTGTAAAAAAATTCATCAAAATCGGTTCAGTAGTTTCGGAGATTATCGCGAACATACATCGTGACACGAAATTTTTATATATACAGATGTAGTAAGTTTTAAAAATATTTATTAAATAAATATTTAATTCAATTTGGTACTTGTATTTTTATTTAATCACTCGAATGAGCAACAGGAACATAAGTTGTAGGTAATGAACTGTAAATTATTTTTAAGTTTGTATTGAAGAAAAATTAGTTTTGCACCTTCCCACCATGGTCTCAACTCAAATACGCCTTTGTAATACACATAAACAGATATTCATGTGTAATCATGGGAGCCTGGAGGGGGGGGGGGGCAAGAGGGGCATTTGCCCCCCTGCAATTCAATAGAATGTTGAATATTTTAACTTTTATTTTGATTTATCAACATTTTATCGATATTTTTACTTTAATGTGTGCCGTGTTGATCGTAATAACAATATATTATAAGGCGTACCTACAAAATAATGCGTATTACATTAATCGCGCAAAATTAAATACGTTTCAATTCTGTGAATTGATATTAATCGCCTATTGTGTAAACCACTTATGACGATCGACGCACCACGCACACATAGCTCCAGTTTTTATTTAACTAATTTTTTAGGTTGTAAGGAATATATTTTTAATGTTCTTTTTGGTGTTGGATTTCATATAATTCTAACACAATTTGTAGTTTACAAGTAATAAACTTTTTTTAATGTATTTTTTTTTTGTGTTTGATTTCATTATGCCCCCCCTTTGATAAATTTCCTGCGGGCACCCATGTGTGTAATATACTAAAGTATTTGAATGCTTGTACAATGAAGAAAACGTTAAGTCATTATTTTGTTGTATATAATTTTGTCGATTTATTTTTAATATCCCCCCCTTTTAAAATACCTAGCTACGCATCTGCAAACCATTATGTGACAAGTATATAAAAAATATTATTAAAAATATAAACGAAATACAAAATACACACGAATAATAAAATAATTCTTTCTTGTCTAGTTGTGACTACCGAAAATGTGGTCACTCAAACAGTATCAGTCATGACTAATTGTGTTTTAAAGCAAAAACGTTTACTACCTACTGTAGAAAAATGCTTAATTTATTATGTATCTTATTTAATAATAACTATATATTAATAAATTTAAATTCCTATATTTGTATCATTTATATTATAATTAAAACCACCCGTTCCTTAAAAATTTCTAGTTATAGCTATGGTGGGGGTAATTTGGCCCATAGTGAAAATGATTTCTATAAACGGCACTGTATGATAGCTTTGGAATTAAGTTTATTTTCATAAGTTTTGATACATAAAAGATTGGTATTTTGATTTTAAAAAAATTGTTTGTTTATATATTCAAAGGAAATTGTAAAAGAATTTTAATGGATTAAAAATCGTCACAAAAATCTTTAGGAAAATAATTGTATAATGTAATTGATAATAAATTTAAGTATAATAAAATAACGTAATCGTATCAAAGACAAAGTCGTCTTATTTAAATTACTTGTTGTTGAGAAACTAAAGTTTCGTAAATATTTAACTGCAAATAAAAGATAATTTAACAAAAAATAACAACACTACATAAATAATGTTTTTCTCTCTACACTCGCCAACGACCATACCACGTTGAATACACCAGTTCTCGTCCGATCACTGAAGTTAAGCAACGTCGGGCGTAGTTAGTACTTGGATGGGTGACCGCTTGGGAACACTACGTGCCGTTGGCCTATTTTTCTTCATTTAGTTCAGTCAGTTTATTAATTTCTTAACTTTTTTTTCTTAATATATTTGACTTTATTATGAAGTATTAAATATAATCTATATATCGAATACAATAAGTAAGATAAATATTTTAAGATTATTCACAGGTTATATTATACACATGAGGAGGAAATTACACATTTGTGAAATTAATTATTATTAATTATTAATTTATAAATATAAAATAACTAAATACTTTTTTAATCTAAAGAGTACACACGAGTGAAAAGCAAAAGAAATCTGTATAATGTTAACTGTACAATTGAAATTTGAAACAGTTGAACATTAAATTTTAAAATATAAATTGACTATCCTACCTCATCTGTCATTTAAAGTTTCCTCAGCTCACACCCGATAAATTAACCTATTCCAGTGCTTGACTTGAGGGAGGACGCAGGGGGACGGAGTACCCCAACTACTTTTCAGAAATTTTAGCGTCCCCCTACTATTATTACGTTATAAATATAACGCTTAACAAGTCTTGGGAACGCTATTTTCTTTAAACTAAACAGAGTCCCCCTTCTTTATTTTTGCCTAATCAAGCACTGACCTATTCTATTTTAAATCTCAAACTACAAATTACGCAACTAATACACCACTCTTGAGAATCATGAACTCTGTAAATAATTATCTAGATAAATATTTTACTTTTATTTTAATACGGGCTGCAGCCCTAAGTATAGAATGTAAATTTAACATAATAAAGTACAATACAAAATGTGTACCTAATAGGGGTAATGGTAATACCGGTAGACCGATTTGAAGTCGGTATACCGTCTATTTTTTAAAAACGGTATACCGATAATATCGAAAATATCGAATTACCGAAGTATTGAAAATATCGATTACATCGAAATTGTTTATTTAGTATTTTAATATATTTTTAAACTGTACAAAATTTCCAATGGGAAATTACTATGGCCTTCTATATAATAGTAACACTTATATACTAAATAATAAATATATCTCAAATATCGATACGGGTTGGACTATCATAGCTGGGATTTCAATAAGTCTGGATTACATTTACATTAAAAACAGTATTCTTAAAAAATATTAAGGTTGGAGTGTATCATGTTTAATTTCAATAGCCTCATTCAACATGCAAGTAAGTTTTATATTATCACTAATGTGGTCCAGTCCGGTCTATAATTCGAATTGTTGCACTTCAAACATTTAAAACAATGAAAATAGCATTTTGTTCGTATTTCTTTAAATATGACAGTTTCACTCGTCTTGTCTTATCTGTTAAAAAATAATCACTGACAATAAAAATTAACCTTAGCTAGCAGAATAGTTGTAAACTAATTCTATTTAGTTTGTGCTAACATAAATTTACTTATTACGATACATTTTATTCTTTACAATAAGTATTACAATATATTGTTATTTAATTTCCGTAGTCATTAGTTCTAATTGATTGATAATCGTTCGAAATGCGGTAATATCTAATATTTATGTTTTGGCTAGATACTAAAATTCTTAGAAATGTTCCAACGCCCATTCGGCGCATACACAAGTCAACGTACACGAAGAAAATACTTTTGCTCCGACTGTAGGGCAGAAATATAATGCAAATAGTACCAAAAGAGAAATAACAATTCACCTTGTTTTGATCGACATATTAATTTTGAAAAAATTATTATATTTGCTAGACTATTTTCTAGGATTGCTCGGAAATGAATTTATGACTTTATTTTTAGTTAATAAAATATGATACATAGTAAGTTTATATTTTTCTCAAAATAAACTTATACTTGACTTAGTTGTAGATAGCAATGAAATGAAAAATATAAGAATTCACTTCCGTGCAATCTTAGAAAAGAGAAATACAAATCAAATTTAGTTTTCAAAATTTAAATCGAGCTACTTCCAGTATGTAAAAGTAAGTTGCCCCATCCCCCCTTTAGTTACATAAATTGTATTTTAATTAACAATAAGTACCTACTTACAAATATATTTAAAAAAAATTCTCGTTTTTATGTTTCTATTGGACATAATTTAATACATATTCTAATTTACTACCTGTATGGGGTTTTACTACTTTTAATGATTTAAAATAATTATAAAAGTAATTTAACTCACTCGCTTATATCACATTATTTTTAAAAAGGAATTATGAATAAATTTTAAAAGTGTCTTATTCTTAAATAAATTATTTATTATAAATTTATGATTTATAATACATTTTTTATGTTCTAGGAATAAATCACTATTATTCCATCAGAGTAAGCCGGGAAACGAATTTAAGAAATGTGATAAAAAGACATCAACAAGGTACACAAATGTTATTGCTTATTGGATTGCTACTGACATGGAGCCATACAATGAAATGTCAAAAGAAGGTTTTAGCTCATGATGGCTGTGTTATGTCCTGGTTATACAGTTCCTAGTAGACAAGTGTTTGCTAATATTAAATCCCTGCTATTTAGGCTGATGAGAAAATATGAATAGCAAATGAACTTCAAACTATACAGTATATAGCCTTAACATTTGATTGTTGGTCTTCAAATATATTACACCCTTATATTGCAATTTCTGCTCATGGGATTAATAAAAATTGGGAGTTAAAAAACCCTTTGAATAATGGTGTTTCAGCTGTTCTAAAATTGAAACCAGTAAATTTCATTATAAATAAAGTAACCACAATTCGAGCAAAATGTCACTATAGTTCAAATATACGCCGGTTGTTAAAAAAGCCCAAGAAAATCGTCAACTTTCAATTAAAGTTAGGCCAGGTGCTTGCGAGACTTGATAGTGGTCTTACTTGCCTGCACTTAAGTTTATAAAAGACCGTCATGTACCTCTTCGTGATGTTTTATATGAAATTAGCTTAAATCCCAAGGCTCTACTACTGCTTCCAAATGATGAGAACTTGAACTTTTAAATTTAATATATAAAATGTTAAAGCTTCCTCAACAACTTGGTGAACATATAACAGCTGAAAAGGTAGTAACTGCTTTAGTACTTTGGCCTGTATATTCTCGCTTGGAAAATAATTTACTACACTCGGATTCTACTTCTTACACTTGTAGCTTAAGAAGCTGCATGTAGCGTAGACCTTTTTTCTACATAAACAGAATGTGATATCTTGACTGTTGGTTATAATACTAAAAGTTCTAATTTTGAGACTGTGGCCAAAATTAGTGATAAAGAAACTCAATGTTGGATCCTAGATATAATCCAGATTAATTGACTCTCAGAAAGATGTTGTAAATCATATAAAATTAGAAATGGACACTCTTGGACACCAGTAATGTAAAAAAAAAACTGAAGTTATAAAAAAAGAAGGTAATCTTTAATTCTTATAAAAAATGTAAATACTTATTTGTTTATGTTATGGGTAATATCAACATGAGTGATATGTTATTATTTTATGCATTTATATTCACTTACTCTCAGAGGTGGATTTATCTTTTTTACGACTATAGGCACCAACAATTTGCCGCCCCTATATAGGCAAAGAAGTTATATTACCCCTTCCGAAACACCTAATCTAAATATTAAATATACAAACGTATGAACATTCCTTTGAATTTTTAGACTATTTTTTTCGCTTTAATTAATTAGTCTATTTTGAAAAAATGCCATTGGATGTTCCCCAAATTTTAATAAAAACAGATTTTCATAATAACAGCATAGGATTATTAACATACATTCGAATTAGTAGTATAGTGTGGCAGTGGGGATATTTATTTTTCCCCGAAATTCTGACGATAACATATTAACAAAATGCACCCATTATTATACAATTATTTTTCGTAAATATAAAGTAAATAATTTTCCAATTTTTTTGGCATACGTTTAATGTTTTATAATAAAACATTACAGAATTAGCCGCCCCTAAACTTTGCCGCCCTAGGCAGATGCCTACAGTGCCTAATGGAAAATCCGCCTCTGCTTACTCTATTACACCTATACTCGTATAATATATATTATATTGTCTATCATAGGTTTGGCAGCGTTTTTGTCAATGGAAGTTCCAACAGTCAACGGCAGCCCACATATTGATCTAAACTCGCTCGAATTCAATAAATATATGAACATGGATCCTATAAGTTTAGTTTCAGACCCTAATCATCGAGGAATGTTGTGAACTGTTTAGAAAATAATTTGGGGTTTGTTCATGGATTTTTGTATTATTAAATTGACGAGAGGCGTCTGCGTTTGATTGAGTGTGAGGCTGATTATTAGTAATGATATTATTATTTAGGGTGGTGCAATAGACGTCTTTAACAGGTATGGTATTATTGTTATTTAATAATTTAATATCAGATTGGAAATCTTAGTTAATTTTTTTTTTTATTATTCTGGTGTCTTTGTTGTAGATTTTTATACACAATGCAACCTCAATAACTACTGAGTGTTGTCTTTCACATAGTTCGCATTTTGGTGGTTGGTAAGTGGGTTTTAAACAGGCAGAGGTATTGTGGTTTTCTCCACATGTTATGCATCGGGGTACGTGATTACAGTATGTTCTCGAGTGACCAACATTTCGGCATCTAAGACATTGTATTATTTGGCGTCGAGGGTGTAACTCTTCAACTTTAATTTTGGTGTAGCATATTGAAGTTAGTTTAAATATTTCTTTGTTATTTAGGTCAGGTTCAAGGTCTATGAAAAATAGGGGTAGTGGTATTTTTGTTATTTTATTTTTTTACATTTACAACTGTATTGCTGATGTATTGCTTTGTTTGGTTTTGGAAGACGTAATAGGTGATGGAGTGTGCTGAGGTATTTGGGAGTGAGGAGACATTACCAATGTCCAATCAACAGATGATAAATCGTCCGGGTCGGTGTTTATTATTTCGTTTTGCTTAATTATTTGATTGCCATTTACAATTTTAATTGGAGTTATCGGTTTGTTGTTGTACGGCTTCTTTTGTGGCAGTGAGCGCAGTCACATGTTATTTTGGTTAGATAACGAGTGCGGAAGTGTATTATTTTGGTTAAACATTTTGTGCAACGGTAATTAAAAATGCGATTTTTCTTACCTTGCACAGTGATCTAAAATTGAAAAAAGGTGGCCAAAAGGTTTATTTGTAACAATTACATTTCAAAAAGTGGCCAAAAATATTTAAGTGGTTCAATATACACAAACGATATTTCGTCAAAATTAAATGTATTTAAAACTAATTTCAATGCACTGTTTTTTTTTTTCTTGTAATGAACTAGACACATTGTTAACAATAATATATTCATGGGTATCTAATCGAGTGATAACAGGTTTAAGAGCCATATTATTTGTCACGAAAAATCACCACATACACAAATTAAATTTAAAACTTTCTAAAATATTAAAATGTTAAAGAAATAACAAAAAATTAGCAAATATACAGTTTATTAAAAGTTCCAAGATGGCTAAAGACAGACGACAGGCTTGCCGATCGCTCGCGGTGGTCGGTACACCATCAGCGAACGCTTCGTGATACATCGCCGTTTCCCAGAACTGGTTCTTTTAATCAATCGGGTGGCCCGATTGATAATCAAACGTACGATGATACCAAGGAAAAAAGGTGTGACAGATAAGATCGCGGTATCCGTGAAACACGACCGTGTCATAATGAAAAATACTGTATCAAACGCACGAATACAACTATTCAAGTATATCATCGATTTCATAGACATGTCAAATTTAATGTCTTATCGAAAGTAGAGCAGATATGAGCAACTAATCTACACATAAACGTTTTCGGTATATTATCTAGTTTTGTTGTTTGTATATATGAGCGTGACTATCGTTGACTAAATAATTTAAAATCGTAAGTCTTAATTACTTATAAATAATTTATCAGCAATTGAATACAACGACCTACAAAGTCGTACACATAATTTAATGTCATAATAACAAATATAAATATTTGACAGCATATATATACACAATATAATATATCCAAAAATAAGATTAATTTTAACTGAGAATCGTTTAAAATTAACTAATAATTAGTACAAAATTAATGATATTTTACTAAAAATCAAACATTTTTCAACATAAATACAGATTTGGCATAAGTAAAAATGATTTTAAAAAAAATTTATAATATATAATTCTAAAAGAAGTGTTTAATACTTTTTTAAAACAAAATCTTTGAAATGCAATTGTTACAAATAAACATTTTTGGCCACCTTTTTTCAATTTTAGACCACTGTGCCTTGGGGCTACATAGACCCCTATAGTGGGTGAGACCTGAAACACTAATGGTTGGTCTTTTTTTTCCTTTTTAAACGATATAAATTATGTTAAAAATCGACAAATTTGTGTAAGTGAAATATAAAAAGAATCGTTGACGTTTAATAAACGTGTACTCGATAAGATCTGTGCACGGAATGCAAATTTAACTTAAAACTAAAAGACGGATCCTCAATAGCAATACACATCATCCTATTTAGTGGTTTATTACAGGAATAAGTTGTCGTACACAGTGGAATATTGAAAGGATAGGAAGAGCGGAAATGGGCACAGGGAATTTTAAAGTTGACCTTGGATAGAAGTTCAGGACAGTCGATCGACCCATTGATGAGTTGGACTAGGAAGACCTTATTAATGGTAATACGTCTATCGGCTGAAGATTGTAAATCTAACCTATCTAATACTGCATTATAAACATGAGGTCTGTGTTCTATTTCTAATAGATATGCTGCAAACCCAAAAACTTCTGTTGGACCCTATCCAGCTGATTAAAAATGTTTTGGACCATATATAAAAAAAACATTGGAAAATAAGACAAAAACAGAAAAATTGTTAAGACAAGAAAAAAATAACAGATTAAAAATGAAAATAAAGACATTGAACAGTCTAATAGATAAATTACAAGCTGATAACAAAATTACAGCCAAGTGGTTCTAATGGTAATATGACTAATTTTTAACTTTCAATTTTTTTACAGATTTTCTTATGTCTATCTTAAACAAGAACATGGGGTCTACATAAAATGTACTATTGTAGTATGTAAATAAAACTCAAAATAAAATTTTCTTCGACTCCAGTTCAATATAATTAATATTTCTGCTATTATATAAGAATTACAAAAAATATCTGATACTAATATCTAGTTATCTAATTTCTAGAATAATATTATTAATAATGAATTATATAATATATATAGGTCTTACAATGACTAATATTGATGTATTTAAAATTTGTCAGATAGCAAAACATATAATCCGAAAATATTCAAAAAAGTCCTATCTAAGTAATGACAATTATGTTTTAAAATTGATATCTTTATTAAATTTTATTAAATATTTTATAAATTTAACCAACCATTTTATGGTTCAAGAACCTTTAAATAATCATTTATTACAGCTGATAAGATTAATAATTAAGAAATATATAAAAATAAGAATTCATCATATAAATACAGGTGCTAATAAAATTGACAAAAGAGTAAGAAAATTTTATACAAAATTAATCCACTTCCAATATCAATGAAGTACCAACATAAAAAAGTTACCTACCGATTGTTTTAAATTAAATATGTAAATAATTTGTAAATTAAGTATAACACCAAATTGTAAATAGAAATAGAATATAATCATATACAATATTATAATACTTACATGTGAATTTTTTGTTTAATGTCTCATTAGCAATAGTATTACATCTTGTATTCGCAAGAATAAAATGTTATGTAACACTTTCGGATTCCTTTTTTTTTTTACAAAAAACATTGTATGGAGCAATCTCAATAAACTTTTAGAATTATGAAATTCCCAAAATTTTCTTATCGTAATAATTTTTCGTGTTAAGTGGCCCACACATTTTCAATAATATTCATTAATATTTATATTAATAAATGATTTAATTTTTGTAATGCGCACGATCATTAATATTCCAACATTATATTGTTCAGTTTCATTCCAAATATGTCTATGATGAAATGTGTCTATCACTAGTAAAAACCAAAGATTTGTTGATAAATAATACATTATACAAGTATATAATCTAAGGTTAATACGATAAGATATTTTCAATTTGGCGTGAATATAATATATTCTAAAGATAATTCTACTTATATTGTCTTTGGTGATTCTAACTTGGCTTTTTCTCTCTCGCACATATCTTTGCTTCACGTATCTCTCTAAGCGCAATCAATATATACAGATATTCGGCGTAATCGATAAACTCCCGCGGTAAGAAACTAACCAGATGCTCTTTTCCACAAAAAAAATTACTTATCAAGTCGCGTATATAGGATTGACCTATTTATTATATTTTCCATTATGTACCCGATTGGTTCTCACACTTATCACTTTATCACACTCCGGGAGAACAGGTACAATGACTAAAATTGTACCAAGAATTTATGAGTTCGGACGGGGATAGTATGGTCACGGTTGATTCGTGACCAGTACACGCCCGGGCCTCGGTGCTATAGCCCTGGTACCGGCTACCGTTGATTTGTCGACATCTGCATTGAGGTCAGTTGTGTAAATAGTAATAGTGATAAATAATAATAGTAATAATATATAATAAATATATTATTAAATATTATGAAATTTATTACAATAAATGTGGTTTTGTAATGGCCATTACATGTATTAGTTTCATTCTTATTAATAATAATATTTGTATATACTTTTTTCATTTTACAATGTAATAAAGCTATATTTATATATATATATATATATATTTTTCAAAATTATTATTTTTTTTAGGTTATTACAGAATTATAGATATAAAAAGCTGGCACAATTTCGCTATCCTTTTTTTTTTGGGTGGCAACCGCAAATCCGCCAAAATGAGGTATCGCAAAATTATACCCCGTTAGAACCGTAAGCTCATTATCGGATGATAATTTCTCTTTTGTCTCCAATATAGTAAGACCTTTCATAAATGACGTAGCAAGATTTAACCCCAGTTGTGCACCCAGGGCGTGGGGCTTAAAGGCTGGAGCTTCACCAAAAAAAATGTTTGTCCATTACATTATATAATATCAAAGCTTATGGTTTTGTCACAAATTATTTTTATTACTACGATAAATGATTATTATGTCAGATACACATTGATAGTACATTTTAACGTGTTAGTGTTTGTGACAATCGCCGATCGATCGTTTCGTTGAAAATTATTTTTAGATTTATGGATACTACCATATTCTATTTTTACTATGTAGTATGTGGTAATAATAATAATAATAAAAAAAAAAATTATTTGAAAATTAATAGAAATGGCTTATTTGTACAATTAGGAAAATATGAAAAATTGGTGAGTCCCCCAAACAAAAATACTGAGTGTGCTCCTTGTAAGAAGCTATAATGAGAGTTGATTACCTTAATTACATTCTCTAGTATAACTAGTATAAAAACTATTATATAAATTTGAATAGCTTAAACTAATATTGCTTGTTATCTTTGGCCAGTAGTAAATATGTAAGTTATTAAGATTCGTCATAAAAAATTATAACGCAATTTATGGCTGTAACACCTAAACATATATTTAACTTAATCCTGTAACAATAACGTTTTAAGTTGCTTTATAAATTGCAATACAACTTACGTGTAATAGTTAAATAAATTTGAACTAGGATGGCAAGAGATAGCTCTATTGGCCAGGGCTTTAATCCTATATTTGATTCAAAGTATACCTAAACGTAAATATGCTTGTCTATTTGGTTTAAATTGACTAAATTAAACATCATCATTTATACAACCACCATAGATTGTAAATAATATAAATAACAAACGAATTATTTATGTGCGATAGTCAAGAAATAGAAAATCATATCATCTACCAGCTATCTAATCTACTTAAATAATTTTTACACTTCATAAAAAATAATTAAGACATAATAATAATAATAATAATTAAATATGTTTTAAATGTTTCATGTCATCGAAATAGTAAATTTACAATTTTAATTTTGCATTATGTAATAAATGTAGGTATGTTAATGAAAACAATAACACCGAAATATTAACTTGTTAACTGTTAGGAAAGGTTAGGCTATTTATGAGTATTTCTAAGTACTCCAATATTTCTTAGTAAATAAATTTGAAAGTTTATACTTCATTGTGCAAAAAGAACCTTGTCGAGTGTGTGTATCTCTCTCTCTCTGCAAAATACCCCTCTCTCTCACACTCATGCACACCCACTCGCATATAATTTTTACAGGAACTAACTGATCGTTTGTACAATACAGCAACTGATCGGCATAAAAAATGACCTTGTTACCCCTTGTTCCGGTATTGATTTCGAGTATCGTTTTCTTTTCTTATCGAAATGTTGTTTTCATGGCTACAATCGACACCATAGTAGCTGTTCTTTTTCTTTTACTGCTGTGTACCTTGTTCTGTTTGCTATTGCAAGTAATTTATTAATCGTTAATCATTCATCAATTTTAAAATTGATCTTATCAATTATTGTAATCAGTGGAGTGGCGATATGGGTAATCGTGAGGCGACCGCCTCACAGTTTTTTGAGGGGTGGATGGGCAAGGCCGTATCTAAAAATTTTTTTCATGAGGGATCCAAAACATGTATATTGTAATTTTATTGAATTAATATTTTAACTTTTGATATTTGGTTAAAAATAAGAAAGAAAAAGATTTAATCTTCCTTTATTAAAATTAAAATCATATTTTTATATGATATTATGATATAAAATTTAAAGCAGTTAATGATTAATTGGAGCTTAAGTCATTTTTTACTGAAAATATCTATATTGATATTGAAATAAATAAGTATTTTAAACATTCGTAAAATATTAAAGAACTTTCGGGTGGGGAGGGGTCCAGAAACCCTGAACCCCCTCACAGATACGGCCATGTGGGTGGGTGTCGACAAAATGTACTTGCCTCTGAAAATTGTTGAGTTCGCCATGCCACTGATTGTAATTATTTTTAGTTTATGCTATTACTGTTGCAAATTGCTTTGTACACTAAATTTTTGCAAATTTGAGTTTATGCGTACGCTATAATTATAAATGAAAACGGCTTTAACCGTAATAATAATCCCGTACAAAAGGTTGGATAATGATGTCAATACTTTCCTCGAGGGTTGAAAATACTCTCGCTATTACCCAATTAAAGTCGTAAAAAATAAAATGCTAAGTTATAATACATTCAATTCTAGGTAATTATTTTCATTGCGTATATCTAACATTTCAATATATTCAATAACATAATAAAATTCAGTTTATTCTCTAGGCTAGATAGAATACCAATGATAAAATAATATATAACGTTTTATAGTTTATATTTTACTTATTTATTGTTACATTAAAATCATTGACATCGGTGATATGTCCAATACACAAGAAAGGAAACAAACAAAACTGCAACAATTATAGAGGAATAGCTCCTCTAAACGTATCATACAAGGTTCTTTCAAACTGCATCCTATCAAGGCTAAAAGGTAAAGCAGAAGAAATCTTAGGTAACTATCAGGGAGGATTTAGACCAGGATGATCGACGATAGAGCAGATATTCATCCTCAGACAGTTATTCCAAAAAGCATGGGAGTTTGACAAAAATATACACGTCCTTTTCATTGACTTCAAAAAAGCACATGACACTATCCACAGGACAAGCATGATCAACTCTTTGAAAGAATTTAATTTACCACATAAACTAATAAGTTTAATTGAAACGAGCATTACAAATAGTTTCGTTAAGATCAAGGTAGAAGCTGCAGAAACAGAACCAATACAAGTAAAATCTGGTCTAAGACAGGGAGACTCCATATCACCAATTCTGTTTAACCTAATTCTAGAGAAAGTAGTAAGAGAAATGAACATACAACCACAAGAAGGTTTTAAACTACAGGAGTCGGCTGTAGCTCTGGTGGCGTATGCGGTCGATGTGGTACTAATGAGCAATTCACATCATAATCTGAAATCACTGTTTATCCAATTAGAAAAAATGGCTAAGAAATTAGGACTATAGATAAATGAAGGTAAAACCGAATACATGATCATGGTAAAAAGAGATAGCAGTGCCATATTCCCGCATATGAAAGTTGGTAAGTTGGTAAGTAGGTATGAGTTCAGTAGAGCCAACAAATCAAGTACCTAGGTTCAATAGTAACAGAAAAAAAATGAAACTGACAAAGAAGTTGCGGCAAGAATTGTATCAGGAAATAAGTACTTTTATGGACTCTCAAAAATACTAGGATCACGATCCTTGTTGTTAGAAATTAAAAAATAATTATATACAACCTTAATACGCCCAGTGGTCACTTATGGGGCGGAGACTTGGACATTAAGAAAGAATGAGGAAAGAAATCTTATGATTTTTTAAAAGAAAATTCTAAGGAAAATTTTTGGACCCGTGAAAGACAGATAAACGGGTGAGTGGAGAATAAGAAAAAATAATGAATTGGAAAGCCTATTTAAAAAAGAAAACATAGTAAATACAATTAGAAACCGAAGACTTCAGTGGGCCAGTCATGCTAGACGAAGCCAGAACAACATAATAAGGATGACTATGGACGAAAATCCAGTTGGTAAAAGACCACTAGGGAGACCTCGATTAAGGTGGGAAGATATGATAAAAAAAGACGTGTTGGCACTGAATGAAGGACCGGATATGAAAAAACGAGCTTTGGATAGGAAAGGCTGGAGAATTGGATGTGTGACGGGATGGTCTTAATGGCCGACAAACCCCAAAGAAGAAGAAGATATTTATAGTTAGTCATTATTATGTACAAAAAAAATGCACATGACCACTATTTTTTAATACATTTAAGTTATTCATACCAATTGAATGCAAAAACTTGTATATTATTTATGGGGATTGCAAATGGTCAGTTTTTAAGAGGTTCAGTATAAGCTATAATTTAAGATCCTTACATGTTTGTGAGTAGTTGGAAATCATTAGTGTTAAGGGGATTGCATCACACGTATATTTCGTACGTTATAGTCTATAATATAATATAGACCAATAAACGGTAGTAAGTTACACATACTTCCAAATTTCCGATTTTAATTTTTAATACATTCATGAATTCTTTAACAAAATATGGCTTTCTAGGAAGCAGATTTTCAATTTTAAAGGACCAAAAATTAAGATACATTTATAAAAAAATCTCATGAAATTATTTTATTACATTTGTATTTATTTTGGGCACATCTGGCTTTAAATCAAAAATGTGGTTCCTACAAAGCATAGTAAAGAAGCTTATGATTTCAACCCTTTTTTGGAAATTACAATCGAAGTTCAAGAAGTATGTTTAATTTAATACCGCTTTTAGTAGTTTTTATAGGTTATAAGTACAAGAATATATTTAATTTTTCGTGATTTATTGATATGTGTGTGCGCGTACGAGAGTTGCTTTCGCTTAAACCTCATCACATGTAACGCCACTTTCGTCTTTATCATGGCCAGGCGTTTCGTTATTTATAAATAAAATAATTTTAAAATAATATTGTTTACCTGTATTCTGTAATCCCGCTATTGCCAGAGAGACAATACAATCGATCAGTATACGAGTACAATAGGACAGGCATGTCAACCTCAAATGATTAAGTGGATCAAATATAATGAATAGTTTACATACTACCCGGGTCGCACATAAAAATTGATTGAACATTTTTTTTTATATTATAATAAATATCAGGGGTGGCCAAACCGGAGCTCGCGAGCCGCATGCGGCTCACGTCATAGACTTTTGCAGCTCGCATCTTATCGTAACATTTAAAAAAAAAAAAATTTTTAATATGAATTTATGTATTTGAAAAAGTATAATATTTTATTAAATTAAATTAAATTATTAAATTACAGTATAAAGAAAAAAATTTGTAAAAATAAAGTATTCTTGATATCATTTTTCTTAATTGACTATTTTCTTATTTGTTGCGTGTTTAGTTTGCTTGTAAGCTTTTTAAAAATCAGGACTAGATGTTGTTAACGCAGTCCTTAACAATTCAGTTAAATGATCATCCGTTAATGTTGATCGATGTTTAGATTTAATCATTTTCGTGGTTGAGTATAAAGACTCGCAAGAATATGTTCCAAAATTCGATATTAACTTTTGAGCGCAAAGAGTAATTTTTGGATATTTAATAACAGGCACATGTTTCCAAAATTCCAACAAAGAATGACAACTATTTGAACTGCTTCAGTCCTTCATCTTCCAATAATTCCAAGAGTTCAATTTCTAAAGCTGCCGTATCCATTGAAATTGATTTTAATATTGGACATCCATTTTCAATAACGTTAATTACAAAGGGATTTTCTAGAAATGCAATCGAAGGTTTAAGTAATTTCAAGTCTTTAAATCGATCTTCAAAGTGAGTTGATAAACACTCTAATTTTTGTACATAATCTTCACTATTCAATATTGTTGCTATTCCAACCAAATAATCCTCAATTTTTTTTAAATACGGAAAATGGTTTAAATTATTTGTTCTTAAGTCTCTTTGAAAAATTTTAAGCTTATTTTGGAAACTATAAATGTCTTGTACTAGGTTATTTATAAATTTATTTTTACCTTGAAGAGACATATTTGATGTGGCTAAGTGATGCACAACGTCAGTACAAAATGACATATCTCTTAACCATTTTGGGTCTGAAAGTTGTGGAAAATTTTTATCTTTTTCTTTTAAAAATGTTTTAATGGGTTTTAATAAATAGAAAAATTTTATCAAAACGTTATTTACCGATAACCATCGAACTAAACAATACCACGGAACATCATTTGGAATATCATCCTCTAAACTTTCAACAAAGTTTTTAAATTGGCTATCTATTTTTGAACCTGAACGTATGTAATTCACAATTTTAAGAACAATTTTTTTTATTTAGTTAAATTAGTTAGTTTTAATTAGTTTCGTTCTATGAAAAAGAACTCTTCTTCCCATTGTAATTTGAATTCTCTGTGTTCTTCATACTTGCGTTTCTTAGACATAATAATTATTTTATTAATGACGTCACGCATGACGTCAAAAAACACTATGAAGACATAATATCCATTATCCATATGTGTCTATGTCTGTATGATATTTTGATATTTATGGTATTAATGAAGATAAAATTAAATTTGATATTGTTATCTTATTCTTCACATTTTATTAAATACCATACCTTAACTTATCTTATTTACAATAATACAATATCATATATATAAATTATATAATAATATGACTTTTTTTTTTTACATTTTGGCTCTTCCATATTTATTAATATATTTGGTGGCTCGCAAGTCTTTTCTCGCTGGCCACCCCTGATATATATTTACAATGTATATTATACATATAAAACTATTTTTAAAACTTAATCGATTTCAGTTTATCAGAATATAAGGCATAATAACGTATACCAAATATATTATAGTTAACATATATAACATAGAGTCTAACATAGTTGCAACATGACATTAATATTTTATATTTTACTATCCATTTTTTATTTTTTGGATTGATACTGGTAGCTACGGCCACATGTTTGATATGCCTGCAATAGGATATTTCAAATTTTAACCGAAAAAATCCTTAAGTTTTCAAAATCAAATTCAAAATCTAACTAGAATTTATGGTTGAAATATGTATGAGCTTCCGCCCCTTAAAAATTGTATATCAAGGGCAATTCCCCCTTTGTTCCCATCCATTAACTCGTATCTGAATGAAGAATGCACATGTCATTTATTTATTTTATTAGATCAAAATTTTCAAAACCAATTTATAGGCGTGAAATAGCTGTACTACAGACAACATTTAAGGAACTTCTAGTGATTCGATTTAAAATACGTAAAGATGTTTAAATTTGTAAACAATCTTACTTTGCATCAGTTTGAGCACTTTTTCAAATTTAGTAAATTCTTGACGAGAATAAACATTTTACGTTTCATAAATTTATCAATTTATAATATTGAATATATAAAAATATATTAAATATATGCTCCGACCGATGCAAAGTAGATTTCAATTCAAACATCTTTACATTTTTTAAATTGAATCACTAAAAATACCTTTATTTTTATCATTCGCTTAAGTTGTTTTAATCAAAAAATAAAAGGGTTTGCCTTAACTAATGAAACTCTATCGATGATTACTTTATAAATTTAAACATTATTTAATTTGTTTTAGTCTTTACTAAAACATAACAAATGAAACTATTTAGAATTCTTTTAAGTGCAATTATTTTTGTATGATTTTTGTATAAGTGTAAAGTCATAGAAAATGGTATAGGTTAGGTTAACACGACATGTTTCGTTCATGTTCAGAATCTGCGAATTGTATACTAGTCAATCGTTCAGATCTGAAATCCGAGAAAGATAAAAATATATGATTTATTAATTCTAAAAAAAACACAGTTCAATGTATTGACATATGTTATAGTGAGCATTTATTTATTTATTTGTTGACAATTCTATCGCTTTTACAACGTGTGCATGATTGCTTTCTTACAACTATTATTTATGTACGAACGTAATGAGACTTAATCGCGTAATTTCATTTAATGACATTACATTATTAATGTATAGAATTAGTGATAATATTAAGACGTAATGTTTTTTTTTATTTAAATTTCACAGTAAGTTTTTACTTTAATCAGTTATTGGTATGAAATATTAGAAAAAGATCGTCTAAAAACTATATAATATCGACTGTTAAAAAATATTATACTGATTTTTCTCTACAACGTATAAATGCGCAGATGCCGTATACTATATGAACGTGATTAAAAAGCGATCATCGTGATCTTGTGGAAAATATACATAAATATTTGCGTTCTACATATTATACGTTTTACACACTGCAGCATCGTTCGGGTGCAATCTATATATAGTGTGCGGTCATTTCTCCGGTAAAAGATAAAGAACCCTTAACACCGACACATCGAAGCGGAATTTAACGGAACGGTTAATCAACCCTCTCCGGATTATGATTTATTAACCAATCGGTTGTAATAAGAGCGCTCGCGTTGATACGTGGTACACCGTTATTGTCTTATGTACCGGGTGGTTTGTTCGCGGCGGCGGCGGTGGCGGCGGCGACGGAGTGCGTCGACAAAACGTTTTTCTTCTACTACCCCTCGCACACACCTTACCAATACCTTTGGCAGTGTTAATTCGGCAAAACGCACAGAACCGCAAACATGTGCTACGCCCCCGCTCATACTACACTTCTACAATGTTACGCACGCAATGACGTACGCCTCGCGGCGAAGCTGATGACCGCGGGCGGCTCGTCAAGCTGTTCGTGGAAATAGTTGACCGAACGCGAGTACAGCTTCAGTTCAATGCACTTGCCGGTCGCCACCGTCTTTTGCTTGCCGTTCTTTCGGCACGCCACCGTAGCCCTTGCTGCCGCTCTGTCTACGTCGTCGTCCATGATGGCGCCGAACGGATTACGGCACGCCTCTGACCGCGGTCGCGTAACCGCAGCCGTTTTCACGCCGTCCCAACATCCTGCACCGCAACTGCGCCGATGGCCGGTTGCGGCCACATGTACTGCGGCCACGACGTCGTCAGACGCCGCATCGCCGTCACAGCCACCGCGTTTGCCGCCCTCGACGATGACCACCTTGATGAGAGGCACCACTGAGTCGCATATCTCGCTCACCTCCCGCGCCAGCTCGAATTTTTCAAACAAGCTCATGTTGCCGTTGCGCTCGAACGCCGCGTGCTTGTCGCTGAACGCGAATAGCTGCGTCACGCTCAGCGCGTAATAGTCACCGTACAATCTGGACAGTTCCCCGTATGTCTCGGTCAACGTCTGCAATTACAAATTATGTATTTTAATCGCATACGTTTTCGGAAACCGACACTTTAATAGTTTCTCACATCCTATTTGGATTTTAAACTCGGTTATTAATAACGTTATGGTGTTGGTTTACGGGTGAAACTGTTTAAAAAAATATTATACTTCTAAAGCCTCTAAACACAATATCATATTTACTGTGTTGCGGTATTTAATACGTTCGTGTGCACGCTTCCGCGGTAAACGAATAAAACTCGAAGATTTCATTGCGTCCCTAGCATACTGCAGTTAGAACGCGGCCGGTTAGATTTCAAGCACATGCGTGAGTACATATACCGTTACAATCTAGCGTAAGTTACATCATTATGAAATAGGGCCCATAGTGAACTCTGGTGGTAAAATTTTGTTTACCAAATGGGTTTCACCGATTGTTACACAAACGATCATACTTTTGTTTTAGTGATCGTATCGCACACGCGTGTATTTTACACTTACACATGCGTGTCATAAATGCGCTTTGTTCAGTGTCTTTGGCATTAACGCGGATTAGAATAATAAAAAAAAAAAACGACAATGGTGTCATCTGCGACAATCGACCGATAATTAGCAACACTATAAATTATTACCATGTTCGAGTGCGAGACCGAATCGATATGCGGCAAAATTAAAATACATTATGTGTTGCTCAAGCATGTTGTTGTTACACATAATCTATGGATCAGAAGTGTATTGAAAAAATATTACAGATCCTTCGCTAGAAGACGAATAAGAAAAGAAAAAAATGTTATAATATTGTAATAATTGCGGTACACTCCAATGAACTGTGCAAACACGATGCGCGTTTCGAGTGCTGCAATTCGTAAGACAATACGAATTTCAAGTGCGGTTAGCTGACTATTCGCACGTACCTCCTGACACAGATCGAACAATCTATTCCAACCGTCGCTGTTAGCGTCTTCCACCGTCGACAGCATGACCGCCAGCTTCTTGGATATACCTTTGAGTTTGTATACCCGGAATATCGGTAACAACGCTCGTTCCACATAAAAGTGTCCGCTGTACACGTCTTCGTATATGTCGTCCACACTCTCCCTGAAACACAGTTAACAACGCGGGTTATGCGCATACTCCTAGACATGTTAAAAATTCGATATGCCAATGTATCATATTATGGTAATTATATTGATTTCTCAGCCAGTAGCATATTTACGGGGGGGGGGGGCCCAGGAGTACTGGACCCCCCCCCCAGAACCTCTTCAAAAAATAAAAAAAATCAACTAAAATTCTTACATATTTGCAGAATTGGCTATGTTAAACATTCACAGGGAAGTTGATATTACTGTTGATGAAGTGATAGAGGCATGCGCGCCCGCAGTGGGGGGGGAGGGTAAAAGGGGCCATTACCCCTACTGGGAATTTTTGTTTCAAAACTATTGTTAATTTAATACCATGCATATTAATTATAACATAATTTTATTGAAATCCATTTATGAATTTTAGTAAAATTTATTATATTTTTAGATAATCTAAAATGTATAATCTTGAACGTATTAATTATTATACAATGTTTACATATGATTGCATATTGCTTAAAACTATAAATTCTCCCAAGTACTGATTTCTATGGTATTTGATTTTGTTCTCATCTATATCTACATCTAGATACACGTTGCTTTGGCCTTTCAAATTTTAATCTTGCCCCGGGTGGGATTTTAACCTGCGGGCGCGCTTGTATAAAGAAGTTGGCTAATAAATCGAGCGACTGGAATTTATTTTATAACAATACTTTATTAATATATAGTGCTAAATACAATATATATGTATATATAATATTACATAAGACTATACGATTATTACATTATATATTTAGTTCAACCTTATCCAAAAACTGCATAAGGACGTAACTATTAAAATATAATATATAATTTATATAAATTATGTATAAACTGTGGACCCCCCTCCAGAAAAAATTAAAAATACGCCACTGTTCTCAGAATTACTAATAATTAATATCGGAAACTGAACAAAATATCCATAGAATTTCCAAGAGTTTTGATTTTTACCTATAGGTGAGTTTATAAATTTATAATTTTTAACGTAATACAACTAATGTGACAAGCTATTGTTTACATTATTTCCAAGTGATAGAAAAACAAGCGTGATCTCGCGTTAATGCACACGCGTATGCCATTATTATTTATTATCTGCACGATAATATGCTATTTATCTAAAAACGTCAATATTCTTATAAAATAAAAATAAAAATAAATCAGTCGAAAAGTTCTGTGACACTGATGCTTTTACCCTTTAAAATATTATTCACAACTTTCTTTTGTATGTACGTTTAAACACTTGAACTTAATTTACCTGTCTGGGCTACGTTACTTACAAATTGTTTCGCAAAAAAGGCCTTAAATCCCTCAAAAGATGGCAGTAAGTTATCATACGGGTTCTTGCCACTGACTTTAAATGGTTGATTAGTAAATCGGCGAGATCATCAAGTCTTTCTATGACCATAGGAGCGTCCGGCCACATATCTTCCACATCGTGTAAAAGAGTGTCCGAACTTTCCTTCACTAAAAATTACACACCAGTCCCATTAAAACTATAACTACATAAATTAATAAGGTTAAAACGTTCACTCACACTTAGATAGTGTCTGTTCGATTAACGATTTATCGTCCATCAAAAAGTAATCGGGCCACAGTGCTCGTTTTTTGAAAGCAACCAACATTTTGTCCATTTCTCTGTTATAAGCCATTTCGTTTTCCAAAATCGATATTCGTACCCTAACTAAAATTGCGTCTAAATCGTCTACTCCGCATAGAGTTTCTAATAGAAACATAAAATCAATTATTTGTTGTAATTATTAAGTTTTATTTAATTTTTTAATTTTTTATTCAAATTTAATATTTCGGCATATGGCATGCTATTATGAGTCTAAATCTAATTACAAATTATAGCGTAATTTGAGATGTAGAGGTATAATGAAATTAGCATATTATAATATTTAGTTATTAGGTATTTTATAATGGTTAAAATATTAAGTTAATTATTAATTTTACTCAAGTATAATCAAAAGTTGTATGTTATATACCTAATGATTAAGAGATATTATAAATTGTACGGAGCCTCACCCTGATTTACTTGAGTAAGTATCATTGGTAGTTTCTCCCAACTTATGATTTCTTGAAGTGAACGACTCCTGGAAAATGGCATTCGAGGTTTCGATAATTTATTACTGGGAACCTGAACAAATATATTTATAATATATATTACAAAAGATTAAGAATATACTTAAATGTTATCTAATGCAAATAATTACCTGTCGATTTAATCTGGTTAGTGGCTCATAAGGACCTGAAAAACATAATTAAATACAAAATTATAAATGATACAACTAGAATACCATTCAAAATGATTATAGTTAAATTTAATTTACATCTGAGTTGAGATTTTTGATTAAGGTATTGAAAATAAGTCTCTTCATTCCAAGCTTCCTTCACTTGTCGCATACGTTTTTTCCAAGCGTTTAGTTGTTTTTCCGTATTAAACTTAATTTTAAACCAATCCAACTTGGCTATATCTTTAATATGCAAGACCAGAAGACTTCCATCACAAATTCTTCGGCATACCGCTAAGTCTCTTACTGGGTGAATTTTTGTTCTTCGTGGATCTTGATCGTCTCTGTTAAAAATGAATAAATATGTGATTATTTATGTGCCTCATTTTTGTAATCGGAGAAACTCTTTACCCATAAATCCATAGCGTACTGTTACTGAGAACAATAAATCGCTGTCTCCAATCAGCGTCTCCAACCACTTTAACCATTAATATATCGCAAAAACTTGATATCGCCGACATTTTAACCTAAAATATATAAAATCAATAATAATTTAATTCATAATGTTCAACACTTTTTGCTATATACCTAAAAGTTTCAGCTTTTGATTTATTATTACCAATAAAAATAATTAAATTAAATACAGAATCATTATAAATACATAAAATAGAATTTTAAATTCATCGAAACATTGAATTAATTATACTATTGAACTGTAGATGAGATTTTATGGCTGTTGAAAATATATTTCAACTAAATTAGTATAAATCAAATTAACATTTATAAAAAAAAAGTTTTTTTCGATCACATTTTAACTTACACCGAAGTTAAAACCAATGATTAATGAAAATGCTGTAATACATTAGCATTAAATTATTAAGATATTTACTTAAAATCAATTAACATTAAACTAACCATAAAATTGTATTTAAACAAATAATGAATAATATAAATAATAAATTCACTAATAGCATGCACCAGCTAATAATCGTATAAATTAATTAGAAAAATTAATTTGACATATAATGAAAGATGCTTTTTTAAGTAACGAAATAAATAATGAAGTACATGATTTATTTTTGGAACAATTTGAGAATTCTTATTGGGTAATTTATACTTAAATTGATTTTCATTCAGAAAAATAAAATTAATTGTACTCTTTATTCTGAGAATTCTGTAAAAGGAGAATTAAAATAAGCATTCCATTTAAAAACCATAATAAGATGAAGCATTATGTCACACTTTACATTTTTTTAAATACCACTTGATAATATAATATAGATAATAAATGTAGTATAGGCTCAATATTTGAGTTAATTATTGAGTCAATAATCACTATGATATTTTATAGATATTTTTAATATTTGTTTATACATCTTATCAGTATCGTACATATTCATTATATATTTATTATAACAGTGTAGTTTTAAACCTTTACGATTGCTGTTTAAGCATGTGTAAATCATTAATAATAAATTATATATATTTTTTTAGACTAACGTTTTCTACTTTGTTCTACAACGATTTGTTTTATATATATATGATTCCATTGACTTTGAAAAATGAATGTCTCAAAAGTTTTTAGTAATTTTTAGTACCATCTTAGTAAATGAGGAATAACAATAATTTGATTAATAAAGTTTAGACTGTAGATTTTTTTGGAATATTTTTTATCTGCCGAAATAGGCGTGTGTGGTTAAAATATAGATAGGTAGTTAAAAACTATTAATTTTTCTCTTTAAAGATTAAATGAATTAAATGAAAATTGCGAAACAACATTTATTATACACAGCATAAATGTGCTATTGTACCGTATTACACGTGTGTGCAAAGTACAAACAATATAAATACGAATACGAACTCGTTTTATATATATATACGTTAATATATTTGTATTGGTTTTCGTTTTCTGGTTAAAATACTTGATAGGATTAATAGAACTAAAATATAGTTATGATTTATATTATACACCAGGTAGTACTTATATTAATCGTTCAAAGTGAATTCATGGATTACACAAATAAACATTAGTTGTAGAAAAAATTAAAATACCACGATAACAATTGATTAATTATTTATCATTACGTATAGTTAAAATATAAAATCATGTAATAAAACTGCATTATAGTACGTATTTTTTTCCTAAATTATGGTGTATTAAATTATCGTAAATTAAATTCGAATATAATTTGTGTTCGGTAGACAGACGTTTTATAAAACGTAAAACTCTCAAATAATATATTAATAACAACTATAGAATGACACAAGGCACTTCAAAATATAGGAATTACGTAAATATAATAATTTAGATAGTTAATGATTTATAACTGTATTTAAATATATGTAACTGTCTAGATAAAAATTGGTCAAATGATACTTTGTTATAATGGTAATAAAAGATTAATTTAGTTAATTGAGTAACAAGCACGTATATCGATAAAATATTACACAATTATTACAGTATTATTTTTTTTTAGTTAGTTTATATTTCTAAATGTGATTAATATAGTAATAAAATCAAGTTTCTGAATAATGTAGGTCTAATAGTATGTCTAATATTTAGTAGTATCGAAAATTTCAAGTGTCTATAAACAGTACAAATTTCAATTATAAAATGCTAGTATACGTACTCAGTAAATGTTTCGACTTACTAAGATTATTATTTATAAAATAACTATAACATAACTAATATCGTTTAAAGAAAATTTGTTGTAATCCGATCTTGTCAAAATTGAATTTGTAATGATTATAAAACATTTTTGCGTCTTTTCAGTAACATTTTAATTTTTGCTACAAAGAATATATTATGAAAAATATTGAATCAAATTTTAAGTATAAAAATTGAGACCATATTATAAGATTCAGAATTTTTTTTTTTATTTTAACTTTAAAGTATTGAATAATTTTGATTTAATATTCACACTTGAATAAAAAAAAAAAAAAAAAACTGAATGTCATGAATTATTATTATAATTATAATCATTGTTTATACATATATATGATTGAAAACAAATATCTTTTTATAATGAATTGGATTAATTTTGTTAGATAATTTTGTACGCAATACATCAAATTAGGTATTAAGTTCATTAGATGACAATTACGGCTTTTGTCGTACATATAGATAAAACTTTAAGCTATAAACAAGTTGATTGATGATTTCCTGAGGGGTATTATAAGATTTCATAAATATTTTATGTTCATACATGTTCTTTCATATAAAATATGAGCATACCGAATGCATCATAATAAATCAAACATTTGCCATTGAATGAGAGATATTGTTACTAAAATGACGTTCAAAACCAAATGTTGAGTAAAATTGTTGAGGTACCCATGCTCTATTAAACAAGATTCACTAATTAGATATGTGAACTAGTTACAAATTATTTTAGCTACATCCGACTCATAATTGATAATTGATGAACAATCATTATCCCCATATTTAAGTTTAATTGCTTGTTTTATATATAATAAATAAAGGTTAATAAAGGGAACGGAATGAAAATTGTATTTTTTTTTTTTTTGAATGTCCGAAAACATTTCTTTCCAAGTGCAAAGTTTATTTCATACACCAAAGAATTAAAAATGTAACTTTTATTTTATACTTGCATTTTTTTGAAATTTTTAGAACTTACATATGTTTTGAAGTCATTTTTATATAAGAATAGATATAATTTGATTAAATTTTAGTTAAAATTCATATATTAATAAAATAAATTCATATGAAACATAAGATAGTAGTATAAAAATTTTTTTTAAATTGTACATTCATTTTTTCTAAATAATTTTTAGGGTAAAAGATAGAAGATGAATAATAAAATGATACGAATATTTAATAAGAATATGAATTTATACAATAAAAAAACAATTTTTGCAATGTTAAAAATAATATTAAGAGCACTTTTTAAAAAAGAAATCTGTGATGAATGGATTAAATTATATTTTTTTAGGAATTTTTCTTGGTTTTTTAGAGATAACTTTAATAAACTTGTGATTGATTTCTGAGATTTCTAAATTGTCACAATTGACAAAAAAAAAATTGTCACTGAGCAGACATACATATTATGTACATGCATGTTACACTTTTTTTATTTCTTCTATTTAAAATATTAATAAATAACAATAACGTTTAATTATACAAATCATGTATATATTATAATATATTTTTTATACGAACATGATAACGACCGTTTTTTTAATCCAGAATAACCACAAGATTACATACAATATACCTACATAGTCGATTTCAGTGTATAATTTCGTTTTTTATATTTATTTATTACTATATATATTTCCTTTATTCATTTTTATTAATCTAATTTTTATGATTATGGGTCGACTGAAAGATAAAAATATTTACAAAAATAAATATTTTTTTTTTCATTCATATAAAAAATGTAAAAAAAAAATTAAGGGAATATCGATCAACCTGTAAGCCATCTGTATTTTAGAGCATTTAAATTTGTTTCCTAATTATAAATAATAATTTTTTAAATAAATAATTTATTTTATTTTGAAAATAATTTATTTTATTTTGAACGATTCATTGTAATAAACTTAAAAATGTCAAATATTGTATTAGACGCTTTCGAAAGACATGACTGTGTAGGTACGGCTGCATATGAATTACATCCCAAAATACAAAAACATACATTGTGATATCAGAGTTAGTGGTTTATTCGCTAAATGTCTGAGTTGCGTCCCGGTTAATAATTAATTAATTGGTTAATAATATACACATTTTACTTCCCACTTCTATAGACTGAGAACTGTCATTTGTATAAATAGTGTGGTTAAAAATTGTAATTTTATATTATAAATTATTTTTTGTTATAAAATGTAATGATTATCATTTATATAAATGGTGCAGTGGTTAAAAATTGTAATTGCATATTTTAAATTATTTATTGTTTTAAAATGTAAGGTTGATTTTATTAAATGGTGAGGTTAAGAATTGTAATTGTATATATATAATTTATGTATTTGTAATTTTTTGTTTGCCAATTGTTGAACAATTTTATTTACAGACATGATATCGATAATCAAGACTATCTACGAGCTTATCACCAAAAATTATTCTCAGTCGTTAAAAATCCCAGGGACGCAACTCGGACAAAATATAATTTAGGGAGGCAATTCGATTGCACCGGTAGGCTGGGTGAAATTACATCGGTACAAACATTTTTTTCTCACGACTATTGACAAAATACCAAACTATTAATTGTTTTATTAAGTATTGTAAATATTTTTTTGGATAATCCACAAAAACCTGTTTGATTATTGTATAAAGTTGCCATAATATTAAAACATTAGAATAGTAAGATAATTTTAATGACCACTTTTATATTGGTTACTATGTTATGAATTACATATAATATGAAAAACGTAAATATATATATATATGTATATATTTTCCATTATCTTAATCGTTACACAATACTTTTAAAACCGGAAATCCAACTAAATTAGTTAAATAGTTGAAAACTCAAAACAGTTCGTTTAACTAAACAACGATAGTCATGATAAAAGTTAAATGAAAGTTAAAACTACAATATTTTTTATATTAATTAAGCATGTATACTTAAACATTTACAAGCATTTAAGCATAACAATTTAGTTATGTATATAGCTCATAAAATTATACTTCGTTTTTCGTAGTGATACGGTTTATAAAAACACTATGGTGAATCTATTATAAGACGAATTTTGAGTTGAACATTATTGCATGAGTGTATATCTAAATCGAATTTTAGAACAGCATAAAAATCCTCAATTCAAATCGGAATAACTATTGTACAAGTGCACGTTGTAAAAAATTCTCTTTATGTGTGCAGTATCTCAAAACAGTCATGACCAGCGATTACTGAGTATCATAATATCGATTCGAAACCGTAGTTAAATAATACGTTCACGTAATGTTTATCCAAAAACAATGGGATACCTGACAGACCTCGACGAAAACTATTCGAGATTGGAAGAAATAAAAAAGAGAAGATGTGGTTGAAGTAAACACGCCGCGATACGGATACCTTTTGTTCTCCAGCGGAAACGCACCGGTGCCGGGTGCAACACAGCAGCAGTGTGGGGCCTGCACTCCGGACGGGGTGGATCAGCGCGAGGACTCGGTACTGTTGTTATTGTTGTCGTTCCGTCGGTCGGGGACGAACGACGACGGCATCGGCGCGGCGCCCGTAGGAACACGGCCGCACGGCGTACATACGAATCGAAACACCGTGCACGAGGTGCGTGAATGCGTAGTTACACGCGCGCACCGACAATCGCTTGGACAAAAGACACGCACAAAAGACCCCGCGGGTTCGGATCCTCTCGGCTCGCGAAACGGCTACATATCTGCTGCCGGGGGCCGCCGAACGCGACGGTTTTATAGTGGCGGCGGCGGGACGATATCGATCGGTACGCGCGGAGCGGGCGACGATCCCCGCACGTCACGTGACCGCGAAACGGCCGGGCAGCGCCATCTGGGCCCTGGGACGCGACCGACACGTGACGTTCGCGCTGCGACTATGTTTCCAAATATTTGCACCGGCACGGAACACGCGTACTTAATGAACGCGGATATGGAGAGCCGTGTGCGGAAAGAGAGAGAGAGAAAAAGACGAAGTGAGTGAGAAAGTGACATTTTTGTGTACCTTTGTGCAATAGCGTTCCGGCTGTCTGTGTTCACCCGTATACGTTTGTTCTCGTCGTTAATAGCGTGCTTATCGTTTCGACGTAATTTTATTTTTATTTTTTTATTCTCGTTTTTTTTTCGTACACGTGCGCGGCTTTGTTTAGCACGACGCATTTCATCGTCACACTCGTTTGTTCGTATATGTTGAAACGAGCCACACTTACCTTACCTGTAGCGGTTACTGTATGCGTCATCGTAACGCGATCCGCGAAGCCTTTGTTTTGCCGCTTTTACTGGCGCGCAATAGACGAGCCGCCGCGCGTTCCATGTGACCAACGGTGGCGGCGGCGCGACTAACCTGAGCCGTTCGTTCGTTGATTTGCGATCCCGTAAATTCCCTCGTTCAAATTTACCCGTTGAAAGTTTTCGTCCAAGTTTTTTTCTCGTAGAAATAAGACGACCAATAATAAAAATACATGCACCGGAAAACGCAATGATTGTACAACAGACTATTTTCTGTTTCGTATGGTATAATTCCACAGTTCAAATATAAACGTATAACGAAATACCATTACCGGTTAAAAATATTTAACAACCATATGTCATATTGTTTGAAAATATTTGTACGTGACGTATCCTGCGAGGAATAGATGGTCAAAAAAAAAAAACAAATGCTACATTTCTTAAACGAATCTCCGGTGAAACTGCTAATAACTAAGATGCCCAGATTTTGAAATCTCTAAACCGGGACATCATAGTGAATGACCCTTTTTTTTCTATGTAACCTTCATATGGAAAAAAAAATAAGTATATAGTTTTGTAATTTAAATATTTATTAATTAATACAAAAATAAATTGTTATTCGATATAACCATAACCATGGTTAGAAAATCATAATGGAAGTATATATGCAGTACTCGAATTGGGGGAGATGCGTAGGTGGACGGAGCTCCTCTACTATTTTTTTTTTTTGCGTACCCCAACTATATTTTTTCACCGGAACGGGGGGACGCCACGTTCATCCTAATTGATGTCCAAAATAATTTTTATGTGAATTTCAATTTACGCCAATTGGAAAATGAATTTTACGATTTATAATATCAAAACTATTTTTATAATTAAAGTTTATGGTTAATGTAGTTAATGTTAACTATGATGGTTATGATAAGGGACAACGTCGTCATTTCTGGAAAAATATAAATAGTAATGTCTGTGAATTTGGTGTATTACACTTTATACATTGTACGGTTTGTTATTAATATTGGCGATCGACGATATCGTCATTTCGGAAAAAAATAAATCCCTTCACCATGACCTTAGACTAATCGTCTAAGGTCTTGGCCCGCACTAAAGAGTAAAAATAAATAAAAACAAAAACCAAAGATATGATTATATCATTCGATTCATGAGACGGCCTGATCGCCTACAATTACCTATGTTAATTATTATTTTATTTTTATTTTCTCTTGTAACATATAGGATGTTGATATTGCTATCAAAATATATTATATTTGGAATTTAAATATTTGTTTAGCTGAAAAGTGGTATTCAAAATATATTTAAGGTTGGTGGAGGGAGGGAAGAGGGACGAAGCCCCCCACGGGTCTGTGTCAAATAACTGCGCACGTGGAACGCAGTTTTCAAATCGTTGGACTGAGCTCCTCTACTTAATTTTTCCCAATTCGAACACTAGATATATGTAATGCAGTGGTGGATTGGTCCAGGTGGATAGTTGGAGAAATCCACCGTGGCCGCTGTCATGAGAGGCCCCTTCGTCATGATGCACTTTTGATAAAAATATATTGTATTATAATTTTATATTCAATTATGCTATAGTTACTAAATTAACAATAATAGATAATAACACACAAATACACAATCCTGGGGCACGGATTTTTTTTACATAATAATATTATTTACTTGTAATATCGTAGTTATATCTACATTTTGATAATATACCTAGTAACCTATATCAAATATAGATCTTGATCAATTAAAACTGGAACTTCAACATTTTCCAAAAGTCTACCCCGACATATCTAATCCAATAGAGAAATGAACAAAATTAATATACTCAAAAGTCCGAAACCGAAGAGATAAGTGACATGGAAATCGAATTAGAAAACAAAGAAGTTGATAGAATCTATAAAAATATGTTTCCTTGTAAGATTGATAGTGTAAATATTCGTTTTATTTACAATGTTTATTTAATCATGATCAATTATATTGTTGTGTATGATTTCAGGTAATGCAATTTACAGTAACCACGACAAGAAAAATTGCTTGCATTGTGTCTAAATTTGATGTATAATTAAAATTTACATGTATCTGCTTATACTATACTATGCAAAGCGTATGCAGTTTTTTTAACTTTATTAATTACAGAAATTATCTATGAACGTACATTTAGTAAGCTGAAACTAATTATAACTAGATTAAGATTCAATTTAAATCAAGAAAATTTGGAGTCTCTGCTTTTAATGTCAGTAAAAAAAGAGCTGTTGGATGAAATATACGTGTCGAAAGTCGTTAACTATTTAAAAGAATAATCCACCATTATGCATCCAATGTTGAATTTATAAATTTAAATTTAAATAATAAGCATTTGATATTTCATTCATTTATTTATTACCTATTATACTCGTATTATTATTATAAACTATTTATGTGAAAATAAGGAATTCACTATTTTGTGGTAATAATGTATTTGATGGATTTTTATGCTACAATTATATTTGACGTAAAAAAAATTAAATGTACGTAAAAGTTGTTAAATTTGACAATCACAAGCCCGGATTAATGGGGGGGGGGGGGGGGCATGATCCTGGGCCCACAACGAAAATCAAACAATAGTAGGCCCCTGGTGGATAGTAGGTTTTTACGTTTTTTAACTCTTTATTTAGCTTGTATAAAAAACAAATATAAAATAGTATATAGTTTTATAGTTTTGTGTTCAGAGAGTAATGTTTTAGAGGTAATTAATACCGATGATATATTTAAAGGGTTTACTTCCAAAAAAAAAAGAAAAAATTGTTTATATAAATAACATTTTTATTTTTTGTATTAAAAAAGCAAAAATTAATTTATAAATTAAAATATAATTTTTTTTTTTTGTCGCTGAAATATAGTAATGTGTGGGTCATAAATATTTCGATTATGGTTATGGGTCCTTAAAATTGTTTGGCCTCGGGCCCCAAATTTTCATAATCCGGGCTTGGCTAATCATAAGCGACATAGGCACAAATCCACTTAGTACTCTGGGGGTGCTCAAGTTCCTCCAAAATTAACTTATTAGTAATCCATGGGGGGCTTTGACACTCACACTTCTCATAAATCTCAAATACTCTGCCAAATCTTTAAAACAAATATTAAAATAAACAGAAATAAGTTCATGAAAATAAAAATTTACTTATAAAATAATAATAGGTACATAATATAATCAAGACTTTTATTATATAATAGTAGGTTGAAACAGCACAAATGCATAATGATCACTATATCATGAGTTATCTGAAAAATAAGTACCTAATAAATTGTTGTCTCAGTAATATCTAAATATAGACATAAAAGATTTTAAGTATTAAAAATGATATAATATAATATTATGAATGATTATAAGTATTATTTATTTCTAGAATATATTGGCGGTGCTAAACACCCTTTTAGGAAATTTTAGCCTATGATAAGCGAGCACAGTGAGCTGCAAATTTTTTGATCATACAAAAAAAAAATGTGGGCCCCTCAAATCTTCTCCGCCCGGGCCGAAGTACTCTCAGTCCGCCCCTGATATAATGTACAATATTATTCTATGTTGTATGAATAAATAATACAATATTAAATATTATTTTCTCTCGACTTCTATTAACCGGGACAAACTGAATGATTGACCGGGACATGTCTTTACAACAAGAACGAATGACAAGCCTACTAATATGATAGTTAACTATATAGTCGGTATACATGTATTACACGTGAAGCATAAAAATAATAACTCTTACATTTTACAGGTGTAAACTCTACGACCAATATTAATCCAATAACAAATACAATCGTGTAAAACCGATTATTGTCTTTGTGTATATTGCATGCATTTATATATATATTAATAATAGCCATTTATAAAGACCACTAGTGTAATGCGGATTGTAGGAAGCAATAAAAACCGTTTCACCACTAAAATTCACGCTCAATATCATTATTTGAACGTAGGTTGCCGACAATAAGATAAATAATTTTAATTGGTATAAAGTTTACTTCAAACGTATTTTCTTATATTTTCCATTTTACATGTCCCTCGTAGAATTTAATTCACAAAAATTTAAGAGTGGGAAATCAATCTAATTAGAAACTTAGAGTAAACCTAACGGTGATTTTCAAACCTTTTGATTATTGGGCAGTTGGAATACGTTAAGATGGTTAATTATAACGTAATACCTAATGATTTATGCACGTGGTGTTAATGTAAGGACATGAATCATCACTGCTAATTCTCTTTATGTTTGTTTGATAATCAGTTACTAATTTTATTATTTATTGATATTTATCATTGTATATTATGAAGTTATACGCAGTATGATTAATACAATAGCATTTATGAATTTGAAATAAATGGATACAACTTACTACAAACAAAAATATATAAGTTGCGACGGTTATTAAGAAAACGAAATATAAGAGTATATCTTTGTTGGTAAAAAGATTACACTTTTATTACTTATTACTAATCTATGCGAGTCAATAAGAAAGGTCAAAATCATATGTCATGAGATGATGGCTAAGATAATAACCTAGTCGTGACAACACGGTGTTCAGGTATTGTGTATCTGTAAAAATTATATAGTACGGCGTACTGCATCACATGAGTAAATTATTATTTTTGACATATTCATACATAGTGTTTTTTATTAGTACAAGACATAATCTTATTATTATTTAATAATATAATAAACAGTGCATAGTCACATATGCCGACACAGGTGAATAAGGTACTTGAGTTTGTGTGTATGTGTGTGGTGGATGTAAGTAAATAAATTAATAAAAACAAAAATTTAAACAAATATACAATATTTTAGAATTTTATGTTGGAAACAACATAAACAAATCAGAAACATTAACATGTTTAGATTAAAAGTATTATATTTAATAAAGTCATAAAAGTGCATGTAAAATAAGTAAAAAATGTATTTTATCATGAGATAAGTATTTGTTTAATAAACATAATATATCGAAACTTAAGGCTGAGATCACAAATAGTAAATTAGTTTCATTATGAATTATTAATAAAATTTATGTAAAAATAACATTTAAGTATTAATGACAAAATAAATATACTCTGACAAAGTTGGAAGAAAACAATAATTAGTATTATATATAATATATACTTATAATTATATATAAATTATTATTTTGCATGTTCAATTCAATTACAATAATATAATAAAATAATTAACTCTTCTGAAAACATTAACGTTTTTAATTAAATGTTTTAATCTACCAAATACCAACAATAATTACCAATAGCTAAGACCTGAATTTTTTATTTATGTGCCTTTGCTTTCTCATAAACATTGTAAATTACTTTAAATCTAATGTTTTGATTAAATTATATTTTCACCTTAACTTAAAAATAAGTAAACATATATTGGCACTTATAATAACCCCTGGAAATCCTTTTCCCGTGATTGTCTTTACCCTCAATTGTTTCTTCTTTTGTGGTTCTTTTATACTATTTGGTAATTAAAATGTCCTTTCTGATAACACTTTTCTTCGATTAACATTTTATTGATTACCTAATCGCTTATTAATAATAAGATTCAAGATTTTCGTTTCTTTTAAATTTAATTCATCTTACATTTTGTACTAAATAATTTTATTGTACTATAAAACAAAAGTATTTTTAATCAAACAAAAGTATTATTATCATTATCTCCGTGAATAAAAACGAAATTTGTTTATTATTTACGTTATTTCTGTTAAGTAAAATTAAAATAATAAGGTGAAACCATTTCTGAACCATAGTATTAATTTTCTTAGAGTTAAAAACGTATAAACAATTCAATTTATACTTTTACTTCTATGAGGCTACATATTATTGTATATACTAAATATTTATAAATCCATTAGACACAATGATTTCAATTTTGACACACGCACACATTTGAAGAAAAATTCTACAATGAAATTCAAAATAAGTATGTTGATATTATGTTTACAAATAACACCACAATACAAGACAAATTATGTAAGTAGTATTTATATACATGAAAAAAGATATAAATAAAATTTAAGTTGTTTTTGATTTCATTTTTATGATAATTCAATTGAATAATATAGATTAGTATTTAGTAATGATATACAGTTACATATTATGTTGTGGAGACATTGCATTTTGAGAAATAATTGGAAAAACAATAATAAATTTGAATTATTATTAAAATAAAATATCGGATTATAAAGTATAGTGATTGATAGCATGTTTATCAAATTGATAAGGTACCTATATAATGTTATAATATTCGTGTTTTATTCTTGCTCTTTTTTCTGTATTATGTGTAAATAATTTCGTGGGAATATAACAACTCTTAAGAAAAACAAAATAATTTTATACATAAAAAGTAAACGAAACCTAATAATTAATTTTACCAAACAACGCATTTATTCACGGGATTCATACGAGATCCAATCGGACATCCATATGCTTTGGCAAAGTCATCAGAATTTGACAGTGGTCCCCATACACGTGTTGGCCCAGGTGAATGTACAGACGATCTGACCTTTGTCAATGCATCTTCAGGCCGCATTGAACCGCACCAAATTTGTGCGTAATTCAAAAAAAAAAGTTGATCGTGCGTCATATCAATGCCAGGAAGTAATGGTTCTTCACCGTGCTTGGAAACCCATTTTTTATAAGCCTAGCAAAAAGTAATTTTTTTTTATTTCTCATATCACATAAGTATTTCGTAAGTTTTTATCTCCATAAAATTAAAATGTATTAGTTTTGGAGTACTTTCATAATTAAAATAATAAGTTGAATTGCCTTATTAATAAATACAATGTAATTGATAATAAATAATAATCAATAATAATAGAAATTGTTAAAATATAAATATTTAACGTACCCTAAATGATTGCTTTAATCCGCCATTATCGGCTATATTTTCACCTTGAGTCATACGTCCATTGACGTGTAAATTGACTTCTTGCATTTTATACTTTGAATATTGATCAACCATACATTGAGCTTTTTTTCTGAATGTATATATTGTTTTCGTATCCCACCACTCGATCATGTTACCATTTTTATCAAATTGTCGACCTGTTAAGTAGTTTAATAATCTTGAAGGTTAAACGATATTCCTCAGACGGATTGTGTAATTTTATTACCTTTATCGTCAAACCCATGAGTGATCTCATGACCGATTACTACACCAATACCTCCATAATTTAATGATTTAGGAAAATGTTGACTATAGAACAAAGGCTGAAGAATTCCGGCAGGAATAACTAGTAAAAAAAAAAAATAAAAATAAAATATACACAGATAAATGCTGTAAATAAAAAGCTGAAAACATTAATTTAAACATTACCAATGTGATTTTTATTTGGATTATAAAATGCATTGACAACCGCTGGCTCTGTTGACCATTTGTTTTTATCTACAGGTTTTCTTAGTCTTTCTAAATTTTGGTAAGCATCGAATTTTAGCACACTAAAGACGTTAAGAATAAATTGATCTTCGGTAACATTCAACTACAATTATATAAAACATAATTTAGTTATAAATATTAATAAAGTTTAAAAATCGTTGAAATTTACCATAGTATATTCTCTTTCTAATTCGTCAGGATCGGTCAATAGCTCAGGATAACCAATTCTTTCTTTCATAGCATCCGCCTTTTCTTTCGCCACTATTCTTGTTTGTTCATCCATCCAATGATTTTCATTAAGAAGTTCGTTAAATGCTTCACGAATTGATTGGATCATATCCATAGCAGTCACCTTATATACAAAAACGCAAAAAATAAAATATATTACATCTTATATTAATCTCACTTAATAAATAAATCTCCACGAGTTTTTTCTAAAATAAAACTCAATTTTATTTGTTTTACATTTAATTAAATAAATAATATTATTTGTTTTTTTTTTTTATTAAATATATATATTTTTTTTACTTACTTTACTTTCCAAGCTGAAGTTATCTCTAATAAACAACGCACCAACCGCCATTCCGAGACGTTTATTTGTCCAATCTACACAATCTCTCCATCTACTTCGTTCATTGAGAATTCCTAATAATATTTTTTTAAAATCTAATCTTTTATACTGAAAATCATCAATCATGTGTGGAAGTACAGTGCTTTGAACTAATCTCCAGATTATGTAATTGTGAATAGTTCTTTAAAGTTAAAAAAAAAAAAAATCAGGATCTAAATGTTAAAGTAATTCTTCCATTGAGTTTTGATTTATTAATATACCTTCTATCAGTTTTTTTTAATAAATCGCCGAGTTGTGTAAAATATGACATGGCATAACTGACTACAGGTTCCTTGTCAGACATTTTAATTTGCAAAATAGTTTTTAAATATAATTGCCAATCAAACTCAGGGACTTGTTTTTGTAAGTCATTCAGTGCAAGTTTCAAATATGTGCCCGTTGAATCATGTCGATCAGTTTCCGTTTGTGTTATCTTTATATAAATTATATGATACAAATTTACTTTACAATTATCTCAAAAGATAAAGTAATCATAACTAAATATACTTACATTTGCTATTTGAATTTCAAATTCAATAATTTTTAAAAGTTCAAACGGTGCTGTAGATTTATTAGCTCCTAATAACACAGCTACTTCCGACATATATTTGTGATACGCTTGTAATGCTTCGGCGCTACTATCTTTTAAGAAATAATCTCGGCTTGGTAATCCTAGTTGCATTTGATCCAACTAAATTTTATCAAAAAAAAAAAAAAAAAAAAATATATAATAAATAATTTAATATCCAATTATCAAAATTGTCCAAAATTTTCAAAATTTCTTAGTTTAAGCACATTAATTGCTATAATGAAGGGAAAAAAATTGTTTTCTACTGGAACATAATTTGGGTCTGAAAGGGTTAAAGAATTATCATTAATAATTCACTTAATTGTTAAGACTTAAACCCAATAGTCGAATAACTAGTTCATTAATATTATTGTATATTTGTTTGTTCTTACTGTGTAGATGCGACTACATTAATGTCTTACTTTTTTCGCACCTGAAGGATGTTAACAGAAGAGTTTTTATCATCTGGACCAACCCATGGTTCAATTATAATTCCTTCGTTAAATTCTCTTTTTAATCGACCGAGTAGAACTTCAATACCATATGTAGGTGGCTGCCAATTTTTATCAATTACTGGCCAGCCTCCAACTGATTTTAAAAGATTCCGAATAGGTATTTCTCCAATACGTCTGATTTGAGCTAATTTAATATGCCATAAATTCGTTTAAATTTAAATAAATAAGTATTGAAATATACCAAACTGATGAACTTACTAATATTCATACACGATTTATAAAATAATTTTGCTTTAATTGTTGCCGAACTATCAAGTCGATTGATTGACTCTTCTAGAAGACCTAGATAAAAAAATAAATCACAAAAAACTATAGTAAAAAATAATATTCTAAAACAAAATACAATATTTTTCAGTTTTTAAATATATAAATTAAATACTTAAAATATTCCGAGAATCAAAAGGATCAACTATTTAAGTGATAAACTATTAATTAGAGCTCATACTTGTATGTCAACGAGTATAAATACGAAATAAACATTTTTAAATGCATTAATATGATATGTTTTACACATATTTATGCATCGAAATTTCATTTGTATACAGATCAAAAAATTGGTAGGTATATTTACTAACCATAATATGATAATCACACTTATAGCTAATAAAAAAAGATTTATTAGGGTAACTAATTTTAAAAATATACTTTACCATTAAATATTTATTTGTATATAGTTATCTTAAAATTAGCAAATATTCAATACCATTGCTATTTCAACAAATGATACCACTTTTAAAATATAGGTATGAATAAGTAATTTCCCCTTTTATTTCTGGAATAAATATTCATTATATTGCTCTTTTAATGTGATTATATATTTAACCTTTTAAGATGACTTGTAATCGATCAGCAAGCACTTCAAATGTATTAATACTACTTTTATCTTCAGGAATTAAATGCCTCTTATCCCAAGTACCGCAAGCATATTGATAAAAATCTTCACATGGATCTGCAGTTGGATCCATGGCCGATAATAATGAAGCAGCTGTAAAATAATAATACTTTGATATTAATATACATAAAACCTAATATAAAATGGAATGAATATAAATATTTTAAAATGATATAAGGTAAAAATAGAGCTAATCAAACGAATATTTTCAGTCCGTTTTCGCATTGCCTATTTTTATTAATACTTATTGATATATTATTTATTAAAAGGTGATTTTTAGAAGACTTATCAACTTCTACAAATAATATTAAGCTACAACTATAATTATATATTATACAGTTATTATTTCACTTATTAAATTCTTTCTGTTTCAGATTTATCCATGTCTTCAATAGTGCACTAACATTTCGGACTAATTGTTAACTGCTGGTTCTGTCTTGAGAGTTAAGTTCAAAGTGTCGCTGATGTGAACAAACCTAAGCACCAGTGCCACAACCAAGGGGGGGAGGGTAATGGGACCATTTTGCCCCAGGCTCTTGTCTAGGAAAATTTAAGGTGGACTCTCTTAAAGTCTAGATTGATTAGAAACCCATTAAAAATTATTGATATTTTTTCTAAACTATTTTTCTTTGCGAATTATTAATAAATTAAATTAAATAAAACTAACATAAATGTATTATATAATGCTATATTTTCAATTGTTCTTAATTATAAATAATTATAACTGTCTTTTTTATTTTTTTATTTTATAAATACGCCTCAACTACCAGAGTTATTGACGTTTATTAATGAATAAATTACATTTTGTAGTTTTTACAATACATTACAATCAATAATTTACAAATAATATTTAATATGATACAATAAGTTTAAGTTTATAATTATTTGCGATATATCTGGGTGTTCAAGTGATATTTTTTGAAAAAGGTTCGTCTATTTTAGGAGTTCTAGAATCAACTATGTTTTTTCTGTGTTTGGTGCTAGTATTTTGCAGATTGTTTGAGGAACATTTGTTTATCTCTGAAATCTTTTGTCAGGAGCAATTCGGTTAACAAGTGTTTAACAGTAGATGTGGTGCTGCATGAGGTGCATATACGATGTTCTTTTTTGTTCATTAGATGTTCAAGTGTGTGACCAATTCGTAATCTGTTTAATATGGTTTGATATTTGCGTGGGAGTGACACGTCGTGCACCCATGGAAGGGTGGATGATTTAATTTCTCCCAATTTGTTGTTTTTAAGTAGTCTCCATATTTATAACTGTTATTTATTAAATTTATTGCCGGAATGACTTACTTTTATCCAAATTTACATAGAAATTCGTTATCGTAATTATCGACGCTACAACAGTCAAGTTTTTTTTTCTATGGCTGTTTTTAAATTATAAATTATAAGTAAATAAATATTTTTTAATAAATTATTAAATTTGGTAACTAATTATACATTGTTGAGAAGTTATTAATAATGTAATTAATTATGTCGATGCATTTAAATGACCTAGATTGATCGAAGTTTGGAAAACTATATTTACCAACATTTTGCAAAAACTTGGTGTGTATTTTTTTATTATACTCGTATATTATTGTGATGATTAGGTTAAGTTAGATTGAAGGGCCTCAGAATTAATTAAACTCAGACTCTATAAATCTTTAAGATGGCTCTTCTCAGTATTATACTGAGTACATGAATATATTAGAAAATATTTCTTACCAATTTATGATAAATTTATCTAATTCATTATAGTTTTTCATAAGGTACGATTAATAATTTAAATAACCATATACATGTAGATTTACAATCAGTTTTAACTTATATAGTAATATATATATATATCTTTATAAAGAAGTATTGATGTTTTTCAACTTGACCCGCTACTTAAACACTTCAGTTATACAAACTTAACGCAATACATTTGCATTGAATTTGCAAGTTAACTATACGTCAGTAGAATGAGCCAAATTCATACAAAACTCTCAGAACAAAGTTCACTCAGAAAAATTAAACGATATAGTACATAAAAATTTAAAAATAAATTTACAAGAACTTTAAATTCTTTGTTTAGAATTTGTACACTCATGATTCGCTCAAAAGTTAGATACGATTTTTCAACACTATGACTAAATAATATAGGAGTTTATACATTTTCATTTTTTCTCCGATCTCTACAGACGTAAATTATGAAATTATGAATAATTTCTTACTTTTTTTCCTAACTAAGATAATGATAGCAATAAATCAATAAATCATTCAGTTTTATATGAGATTTAGATTTTTTATGCACATAAATAAAATTTCAATTATACTACTATAAAAATATGGGTATAAGGTGAAATAATCAATTTAGTATTTAAGCTAAAACAGTTTTCAGTTAAAACTTTGAATTAAAAAAGAAAGTAATTAATTACTTTCATTCATTCAATTAATTCATTCCGTGATTTATAAAACATCCTTTATATAAAAAAATAGATAGCATTTTAAATTGTATGATAACGTAATTTAATAATTACATTAAGGTTATTTATTTTTCATCCTTTCTGTTAGATTAAATTGTCTTGCTTTTTAAATATTTTGACTTATTACCTAATCATATTTTAGTATGCTTAGATATTATAAAATTAGTTTATGTAAATTATTTTATAGTCATATTTGAATATTAGAATTGATTTAGATTTCCCAGGTAAACTTTTTCATTGATAGAAATATTAAATTTTATAAATAATTGAACTTAAAAAGAAATATATATTTTTGTAGAGCTGATTGATATTAAAAGTATACCTATTGAAATTTTACAAGATTCTTCTCCCAATGATTCAAAATTTCCAAAATTCCGAAAAATATAATTGAACCAGTTATTGAAATTTCAAATAACTCAACAGCACAAACTGAAAAATTGAATAATAAACTAAGATCATCATTTAAAAAACAACAAAATACTAAAGTTACTCGTTCTAAACGTTTCCAAGTTTCTAAAAGTATCACCAAACATAAATCCCTTATAAATATGAAGTGGAAAAAAGGTAATCTTCAAAGTTTTGATAAGTATTTAAAATTTGTTTCTGTTCAATTACCTGATAATATTTCAAGTTTGGATTCACAGTTAGAATTTTTTTCATATTTTTTTGATAAAGATCTTATGGAAAAAATTATGAAAGAAATAGAACTATATAGTGTACAAAAAAATTGCAATAAACCGGTAAACTTATCTTTAGTCGAATTGAAAAGATATTTAGGAATATTGATTTATTCATCTATTTTTCAAGTCCCTAATGTACGTGATTATTGGAGCATTGAACTTGAGTTTAAAATTTCTCATTCTATGGCAGTGAACCGCTTTGAAAAATTCGAAAGTTTTTACATTTTAATAATGACCTTAATTGCTTACCTAGGATTGATGTAAATTCCGATCGTCTTTATAAATTACGCCCTATTCTTGACCATTTAAATAAAAAATTTTCTAGTATCCCACACAGAAGAGATTTGTCCCTCGATGAACAAATGTGTTCTTCAAAAGCGCATTCATACCTAAAGCAGTATATGCCTACTAAGCTCCACAAATGGGGCTATAAACTATATGTGTTGTGTGACGATAAATGTTTTTCGTATAAATTTGAGGTATATAGTGGACAGGAGAACGAAGAAAAATTTCGAGATATTACAGAGCCAGATATAGGCACTAGTGCCAATGTTGTCGTACGTCTTACACGTGAAGTTTCTCAACATAAAAACCATTGATTATATTTCGATAATTATTATTCAAGTGTTCAATTGTTAGATTTTTTATACCAAAAAGGTATATTTGCTGTCGGTACTATTAGGCGTAATAGATCACCTAATTGTAAAATTCCTGATGAAAAAACCTTGAAGAAGGAAAAAAGAGGAACATCAGTAGAATACATTTCTTCTTATAAATCTAGTCCAATTTCAGTAGTTATTTGGAAGGATAATAAATATGTAACCTATTATGGAGAAACTCCAAAGTCAAATATAAAAAGGTTTGACCGCAAAGAAAAAAACATGTTGATGTTGAATGTCCCTTCATAATCTCAGAATATAATCTTTTTATGGGAGGAGTAGATTTAATGAACAGTTTAATCGGAAGATATAAAATTAAACTAAGATCACGTTAGTGGTACATTAGATTATTTTATTACTTAATCGATATGACTGTAGTCAACTCGTGGCTTTTATACAAACGAGTTTGCGAAGAAAATGACAATCCTATAGAATATACATTAGCAAAGTGGAGAAGAGAATTGGCTTACTGTTTGTGTAATTCTGGAGTTCAAAAATTAACTAAAGGAAGACGATCAAATTCATTTGATTTTAAAATGGCTAACACTAGACCTCAATCATAAAGACCACCAAAAGATGTGAGACTGGATATGCATGGACATTGGCCAACTAGAGGAACAAAAAGAGGTCGCTGCAAGTATCCCAGATTTAAAGATTTTACCCAAAATCAGTGTAGTAAATGCAATAATAAATACTGGTGCAATAATAAAAATAACAACTGTTTCCAGACGTTCCATGGTGCTAAAAATACTTAGGTTAGGTTAACGTAGGTTAATGTAGGTATTGTTTTTGCATTTTTAGAACTTGAGAAAGAGATCTATATATATATTAGTTGTTTATTATAATAAGGATTTTAATAAAATATATATGATTATAATTTATAGGTTTTGGTCTTTTTGATGCATACTGTTGCATATTTGCAACATGCAAAAAATTAAAATTATTGTTGCGAATATACGTTTTTGATTGTTTTAATTATTTTTATTGAATTCTACGGGTATAAATTAGTTTTGATTATTTATTTCAACAATATCTAAAAAATCATGCATTAAAGGGTTAAATCATTAATTGAGTAACACAACAACTATTTAATATTACAAATTGTAAATAACATTCACCTTCTAAATTTTTCACAACACCCTAAGTTAATTGGAAGAATACTAATTGGTATAATTATTAATTTATTTTATCCACACAATATAGTTTTTATCAAATGTTTTACTAAACCTTTTAAGTCTTATTGATATATATAATTAAGAGTTAAAAATAATGTTTTAGTAGGAAACAATTATTTTACTAATTTATTTATCCCAAAGTATTAAAAAAATTATTTTATTCAACTATTTCAATTCAAAAGTTCAAAACAGATGTACCAATTATGTTGTAATTAGAAATAAAAAATGCTTTAAATAAAACATTATTTTTATTACGATTTATTTATTTATTTTACTCAACAGTTTATTATACCCAAGTGTAGATTTGTAATTACCTGTTTTGACGCATTCTTCTTTCATACATATATTGGGATCATTGTTCAAGAACCAGTTATCTAAAATAATTGAAAATTAATTAAGATAATTTATTAATATTATTAAAATAATAATTATTGTGAGATGCCATTGTTCTTATTTATTTTTGATTGTTAATATAAATTGTGCCAAGGTTATTAAATAACCGGTCGCATTTATGTCGTATAAAAATGTTCAATTACATTAACTCGTGTATTAGTCATATATTTATATTATGAAAGATTTTAACTAATAACATTTACTTATTACACTTGATCATAAATCTATTGACACAAGTTTTTTTCAATTAATGGTCAACATTGTGTGTTATAATTTGATTTAATATGGTTAGGTATGTAACCTTATTAGCTATTAGTAGATTTGGTTTCGGTATTCTGTAGTAGCCTAGACATTTTTGACACTAGAATTGCAAGGTTTTTTAGATGTCATTAATAAAAATATACTAGAAGTTTAAATCAGGGGACCAAGTAATATTTTTTAACGTTGAGTTATTGTTGAAGGTTATTTTATTTAATTGATTTGAAATTGTTCGAATACAGTACAAAAACTTACATTATTTCCGGTCATTAGAAACACATTTTTCTAGTTTTACGCAATACACAGTTTATATAATTCAGGGGCGTATAATTTTATTAATATATACACTTTAAATCATATCCATTTCTAAGCCAATTATCATTGCATTTCAAACAATTATAAAGCTCTTTTTAAAATTAACTTGGTTGTAGATACCTATTAAAATTTCAATTATAAATAGTTCAAATGACTAGAACCGGGATTTTCCTAAAATTAAATAACTAATTATTTTCTAAACACTACTTAGCACTGAAATTTAGAAATTTAAATAAAATATTGTTGAATAAATTATCATATATAACTTTACTTTTGTGTTTGATATTTATTATAATTGTATTTCTTTATCAAATGATAAATTAATATACATTTTATACTAACTTTTACATGTTTGTTGTTTTGCTCCAAATATGCAATCTATTTTTACGAAAAAATATACCAACGATGCGAGCAGGGTGAAAAATATTGTAAGGCATACGAAAAGTACTAGTTTTTCGGTAGTAGTCTCAGGAACCAATAGACGATAACATGTAAAACTAGTCTTGTGCCTAGGTACTTCTATAGGACTAACATCGCCGGCACGAAACTTATTCTTGGATGACCGTTCGTCAGCTACAGTAATATGAACATCAGGTAAAAGGGTTTTTTGATACCGTCTTTCGAAATATCCATTCTTCGTAGTTTTGTTTTCTTTGTTGTTTCCAGCCTCTAGATCATCACTACACGATCTGAGGGGAAATCCTTCTTTGCAGGAGGGTGTAGTTGGAGAATTATTTGGTATCATTATTTTTCCAATTTAAATAAATCGGGTTTTGTAACTTATCCAATTATGTATTTGTGAAAATATGATTAAAATATTAATTGTTTTCATGGTGCTATTGATTCGTTTTCTGAAAAAAGCGATTCATTAAAATAATAACTAAATACCATTTTGAATGAAGATATTAAGTTATAAATGAAAATTTTGTAAAAATCCATTAAAAAATGGAGTTCATTGAATAAACTAAAAAAAAAATATTTTTATTTTGTTTTAATATTTATTCAAATAAATTTGAGAGAAATATTTGCTCCTTTTCAAATGTTTTCTGGTAAGATGACTTATTATTGAAAATAGATTAAGTAATATTAATTATAAATGTAAGCCAGAATAGACGTAACCGTACAATTTTATCCTGTTATAAGTAAATAATTATTCATTCAATATTATACTATGAAATATAAAACGTCAAAATTTTAATCCTATTAAAGTTAATTATACAGTAGAGTGGTTCTTAATTCATATAAATAAAAAATTAAAACCTTATGGCTTACTAAAAAATAAAAATAAAATACTGTTACGGTTAGAAAAGTTGATTTTTTTGTCAATATATTTTTTAAATATAGTTTTGAAAATGTATTCATATAAATATGTTTTATAGTAAATTAATGTTAAAATAATGTAAACATTTCAAATTTATATCAAATTTGTATTTGATTAACCGTTTTTAAATTATTTTTATTTCGTCATTTATACAATCTTACATATTCTAATATTTCATTATGTTCAGTAAAATGATGTAATAATTAATTATTATTTTAATTTTATATATAATATTGTAAATGATAAACGCTTATTTTGTTAATATAAACAATTTTTCGATTTTATCTAACCTTAATATTTTTTAAATATTTATAAATATACATATAATTTTTTAATCCCTATATTTAGGACAGTGAACAAAATTAAATTAAAATAATTATTAAATAATTTTAAAATACAAGTTTTTACATTATTTCACTATAAATTACCCTAAAAAATCCTATTATATAAACTGGATTTTAAATAAAATAATGAATATTATAAATAACTTAAAAACTTAGTTTAAAATCAAATCAAACTACAAGTAAATTAAAATCAGTATATCATAGTTAAAACATTACCTTTAGATATATAAATTGAGTGTAATTGGAAGAAAGCATTAACAGGAGAAAATAAAAATAATAATTAAATTGAATTAAAAATTTTAATCCCATGAATAATATTGACATGATGGTGACATGAATTTCAATGTACCATAATGTATAAGATTTTAATGAATATGGTATTTATGCATAAATGACATAATATGTCAATCATATTATGATTAATTTCTTAAAAAATTATAAAATTGTACAATGCTATGTATTGATCTATTCAGTAGATTATTTATAATAAAATATTGAGTCACATCATATAATATAATGAACACGATTAGACAGCGGTACTTAGCTAATGCAATTTAAATTTGATACAAATACATATAAAAAAATGAAAATTTTGAAACTTACTTTACCGATATGAACTATTCAAGATGGGAATACACAATATCTTACATAAGTGATGAATTAAATAATTAAAGTTGTTTTAATAAATCTATTTAATCATTTAATTAAATCTATAAAATATTCTAGGTAACCGGTACGAGCTCAGATCAACACTAGTGTTCATTTTAGAACATGGACCGATTTATATACGAGTGAACTTGATGGAAAAATACAATACTATACCTAAGTACATTATCATTCGACAACCTTCGACTACTTTCGCCACGGGCACGCGCTTCCTTTTTCGCGCTGATTCTCTCTCACGGGTGCCAATCAATGATTCCTTTCCTGAAAATTACATAATTTGTAATTCATCTACAACTTATGAAAACTTGACGCTATTTTATTAGAATTACATTTGTATTACTTTTTTTACTTAGTATGGATACATGAAAACAGTCTTTATGTATTTATCTCACAAGTATCATAATTATCACAAAAAAAAGACAACCAAGTAAGTTGAAATTGAAATTATGGGCGTTTTACGAACATTTGAAACAGGTAATATGTATAAAATTAAAGCAGGATGCTGCACTGTATCCGGCGACAAGGTTATGCAATCGATAAGCACCAAAGGAACTGCACACATAGTTTCGTTATATATTCCTAGATGGTGCTAAAAATATAAAAACAAAAGAATAATGATTATAGTATTACAATAAATAATACAATACAATAAAATATTATTAGGTTTTTACATTTGAGTAAATGTAATGCTGAGTATCAATTAAGTTTGTTGGCTGTATAATACATTTTAATGTTTTACTAATTACTTAATGAATAAATATAACGAATTTAAAAATACCTATTTATAATTTTTTATTTACAATATCAAGTCAGGGAATAACTCATAATTTTTTATTTTTTATTGACATTTTGAAACTACTCATAATTATTATACGAACTATCTAAATTTACTGAAAAAGTACTATAGTTAAGGTTGTAGAAACTTAATAATTATCTATTTCATAAATAATTAAATACTTGTGCCTAATAAATTGTTGGTACAACAATATTTAAACGGTATCAATGCATTTAACTTTATATAAAAATTTTTTCGTTTCATATACACAAACGCATCACACAAAACAGTTTACTTACTTACTTACCTATAGCTAAAATTATCATTGATTTTTTATTGGATTTAAAATATTAACACTGCTGAAAATTTATAATTTGTTTATAACTACCTCAAAAAGTTTTGTAAAATAATCTTTAGTTCATTACTATCGTATTTTCACAATGTAATATAATGTATAATTATTAAAAAAACTTTGATGATTATCAGTTTTTAAACTGTAAGTTTTATTAAAAATACTGAAGTATAATTATTTTAATTATACAATTAATGATTTTTCATTACAAATAAATTACATTTGTAACTCAGGAGTTAATAAAATACTTTATAAAAATACAAATACGCCATAATAACTACCGACTTACAACAACTAATATATTAATTAAAAAGTATTTACATACTTGCAGGGACTGAGTTAATATTTCAGTCCGGGAATTTTTTTTTGTCAGCCCAAAAATAAACAGGGGACCAACGATTTGGTCATAAGTAGAGCTCGGAACTTAATGCACTTAAAATATACTAAATATGCATGCACTTAGGCGCTTAAAAAAGTACAAATATGCTCTAAAAATATGTACTTATATTTTATTTTTATACACAAAATTTTCATTTGCACAAATATTTTATAAAATTATAAATATAGAAAAAGCAAAGTAATAAAAATAATTTTGATTTTTAATTTTTAATCATAATTTAAAATAATAATAACAATAATAAAATAGCATTAAAAAGTTTCTTGAATAAAAAAAATGCACTTGTAGAATGTTCAATAATTATTGAGTTATTTTCCTAGAAAAGTATTTATAGAAAATTATCGTATTTCGATAGCAGCTGTTCCTACTTGATATTTTTATAACACATTATTTTAGATAAAGGTAGCTGTATTTATAATTTATAAATATATATATGAATATATATTATATTAACTAATAGGGGAAAAATATTGTTTTTAATGTCAAATGGAAATTTGAAAAATACGATACAAGAATATCAAGAAAATTCTTTCAATATGAATGTATTTATTTTTTTATTTTTCGAATTTTCATACTGAATCTTCACAAATCATAAATTATGCTCTAAAGTCTAAAAATCACTAAGTATGCAAAAGTAGGCACTAAAAACTTATGATATGTTTTTCGTAGTGTCTTAGAATGAATTTCTAACTCACTTAGCAATAATTCCAATGGTGCAAAAAAACTTGCAAATGCAACAACTTCCGAGCTCTATTCATAAGTATGCAATAATAATAATAATGACAAAAAACCTTTATTATTTAAAAAATATTTTCAACATTTTATGTAAATATATAAAATTATACATAACATATAAGAAATTTTTTTTATGGATACAGTATACAAATTTTAATATAATACCTATATATTAAAATTAGCTCTATAAATAATTCCTTTTTTACATAATTAGGTTTTTTTTCATAACTTCAATTGGTTCCCCAATTCTGTCGATTAAAATATCGTAATACTATATTTTTAATTTCTAAAATATTATCAGGCCATTTAATCTATTATTGTAACGGGGTTGCGGGATTAGTCCCAGTGTCTCTCCAGGCCAGTCCGCCCCAGCATACTAGTTTACATACTGAAGAACTATTATCAAAGACAATTTAGTAATATTGTAAAATTATAACATTGAAATTTTAAAATTTGATTATTTAAAAAAACAGATTAATTAATTATTTTTGCATACTAAATAATTACAGAAAACTAATAAATCCTTATATTTTCTAAAATTTCGCTATACATAGCCCAAAAATATACGTTATCACAAGTTAAATTAAAAATTATTTAATATTTTTATCCAATAGTCACGACGGGCGGTGGCATATTTTCAAATTTTTTCTGGGTTCTTTTTCTCTGTACCTTCGAAGCAAGTAATTTATGACTTTTGAACCTTTTTATTCCTCTAAAAGGGGGGGGGGGTCAAGACTCGGGAACTCTTCCCCCGAAAATTGGCCACTGACGATAGATAACTACAGAAAAACAATATATACGTCGGGGAATTTCAAAAAAAGTTTCATTTAATTATAATGGTCTATGCATTTTTTTTAAAAATATACAAGTAATATTTATTATATTATTATACTATTCATTAGATATATTGTAAAATAATAACAATCCAACTTTTGCAATTACATCAATAATATCTTTTGTAGCCGCTTCTGTTTTAATTTTTTTTTCTCATTTTTAAGGAGGGATGGAATCCCTAACTGCGTTTTCCCTTGATCAATTTAATAAGGATGAAAATAATTGCTGAAATTATTTTAACATTTACTTTATTTCTAAACGTAAAGGTACATGTCGTTGTCAGTTATAAGTATGGAAAGTAACACAATGCAAATTGAAAAATATCTTAACATTACATACATTTAACCCCATATTTTTGTGATAATCTTATTTATAGCTATGTTTGAATAAATTATTTAAAACAAAATTAATAAAAAAATAAATAATCTTAGAGTGTAACACATTTCTTTTTTATCATTTTTTATCAGATGCAATTAAAAATAAAAATAAAATCTAGTTAGTAAATTATACTATTTTATGATTGCACCCATTTTATTAAATTCCATTATATATTTATATTTTACTAGATAATAATATATGTATTATATCCACAACGCTGGTCCACTAGTCAGTGGAAAAATAATTTTTTTTTTTAAAAGTTTATATAATTTTATACAAAATACACGTTTTATTATATATATTATTATCTAAGTATATCATAATTTTATTATAAAATATTATACTAATAACAATAATATATTTTATATTTTTTTAATATATATTCACAATATTTAAAAAGTTAATTATCATCTGAAAAATTAATTTGAAAAAATTCCTTTGTTTTAATTATTAACTTCACACAATATAGCAGATACGAGATACTTCAATGTAGATAAGTAAAAATTATATAATTAAAACTTCTTTTGATTTTTAAAAATTATATTTATAATTAGTTAAAAGTATAATTATAAGAAATGCAATTAGTGTCTTATATCCATGTATATCAATAAAAACAGTTGTGATAATTTCTATAATAATGTAACATTACTAATACTATTACTTTAATCACTTTATGCAAAAATATATACAAAATGCAACATTGTAAGATTTTATGAATTTACATGTTTTATAATCTAAAACCATGTATTTATTAAAATATATTTTTTTCGTATTATTCAATTTCAAACCTCTAAGGAAGAAGAATTCAGTTTTACAATGAACAGTTTTTATTTGAAATAAATGAAATTGTAAATTCAATGTTTTTTCGGGTTTTAAATTATATCCAATTTTTAGAATATGTGTAATTATTTAAATACAATATGATGTTATTATTGGTATCTATCAAAATCAAAATAATAATCGGTATAGTTCTGAGAAATTTCAACTAGATACAGTTACCACACTTGTATTAATAAAAAATTATGGACGATTCTCTTATTCCAGTCAATGATTCGGGGGTGTGAGGGGATGGCTCCACCAATCCCACCCTCGGCTATGTACATACATTTTCATTAAAAACCAAGACTGAGCGATCGATAATCTGTTCCTGGAGCATCTGCCATTGCTCTCTTGGCCTCTTTTTTTTCTATTGAGAACTATATTGTTTAATCTTTAATAGCAAGTAAACGCCATTTTGAAAATGAAACCTGTCTGTAAATTAAAAACTATAATAGAAAGTTTGATGAATTATTATAGTTGACGAAGAAATTGAGAATTTCAGAAATAATAATCATTATTAAAAAAAATTACATTAATCTATAATATTTAAATATGTTTATAAGTCATTTATATTTATTTATTATTTATTAACGGGCATCTGCCCTTTTATAAAGTGTAAATTAAAAAAATATTCTGACTAAACAATACAATAATAACCACTAAAAGAAAATATAAGATATATATATATATAAACTATAATTTAATTATTAAAAATTCACTTATACTAATAAAATTTATAATTGTTACACTTAATTAAAGTTACAATTCATTTTGTGTAAGTCCCAAGGTTTTTTTTCTTACAATTGTTATTCATACTGTAATAAAATATATTAAGTTATGATTTTTATTACTGTTATCTGTACTTTATTCAAAACATTCCGAAAAATGTATTGGTACTTATTGTAATTGACATTTTCATTGAACTTTTTTTCTAATGATTTATCATAACTTTCCAGACTTAATATATTAATATAATACATTTTTTTAAATAAAGTGTATGGAACAAGATATACACTACATTTTCAGACATATTTCAAATTATTGGTATTATAGGAACACATTATATATTCTGGTTGTCAAATATCAAATAGTTTTAGTTGTATGTACTTAGGTACAGGGCCGGATTGGCCCGGCGAGTTACAGAGCAAAACTCGGTGGACTGCGATAATATTTGGCCTTTTAAGTTGTGAGAGGCCGCTAACAGAAAATATTAATAGTTTAAAGTTGAAGATTAGTGCACCTAGTGAAATATGCGATTAAAATATTTGGACAAGGGCCGCAAGTTAGTAAGTGGGCCGGTAACATACAAAAATCTCGGTGGGCCGAATTTGTCCAATCCGGCCTTGCTTAGGTACTATTTTATCCTTACAGTATATTGTAAAAATGATTTTAGATATCTATATTAGTTACTAACTTAAATAATGTATACTTAAAAATGTATTGTATGCATTATTTTTTTTAAATTATTGTGGTTCTAGACTCTTAATACTTATTGGTTATTATCAAGGCTTGGAAGTTCTAGCGAATACATATTTTTCTTGGTTCATCCGAGAACATCCAAAGTAAGATATAAATATGTTTCACATATTTATCATATTTATCACGTTTTGTTGATAGTAATAAATAGAGTACTTAAGTACATATTTAAGAGCTAAAAAGTAATATTTTTAGTGCTACAACTTCCGAGCCCTGGACATTATGTACTTTTTAAGTTAGTAATCAGAAATTATGTATTTTCGAAGTTTAAATAAATACCCAAAAATATATAAGACATTGTAAAAATGTATAAAAAAGGGTTCTTTTTGTGGATTCACTGTTATTCATATTATTTAGATTTTATTATTAAAAAATAGGTAAAAACTATTTATATATACTTCTTCCAAATTAATATATGATTAAAACTTTGTATAGTAAGTATTTGAGGTTTCAGTTTTAATAATCAAAATAAAACTGTAATTGGAATTTATTAAAATTAATATATTCTACATTTCTACTATGAAAAATTGCGAAGAGTATATTTGTTTTACCTAATTGAAATATTAAAATATAACGGACCATAATACTCAATATTTTCAAACTAAAAGGAAATATAAGTTTGACCATTGATTTTAAATAGTACCTATTAATATTTACTTATTCAGTATATTTCCGATAATACAACAGCTCATTTGAGGAATTTAATAACATGTATGTCTAATATACATGAACTACGCCTAACATTAAAAAATTCTAACCGCTAAACTACTAATAGAATAAGATTATGCTCGTAAAAATATGTTTTGTTTTTAATTTTGCAATTTATACCCATCATATTGGCTAAATATTTAAAATAACGCCGACAACTGTGTGACAGAAATAATTCGGTGTTATTAAAATTAACGGCATTTCCATTTACAGCAGTAATATTATGTGATGGATGTAACATATAAATGAAGAAAGAGCATATGCTATAAATGTAAATCAATGATTTTGAGTCGTGAAATGTATTTTACCGGGTGCAGTAAAATATACGTAAATGATACTTTAGTCTAGAACAAAATGAATATCTAAAAATTGTTTTCTTGAACTACTAAGAATGGAAATCGAATAAATTATTTAAATATCTGATAATAATTTTAGGTTAGTTCTGGTGTTTACTCGTTTTTAACGATACAGTGCTACAACACACGCACACGCTCACTCGTTCACTTGCTGATTGTACACATGCACACCGACTCTACGCACACGTACACATACTGCACATCGAAACGGCTGAACTAATAATGTATAAGAGGAGCGATTGAATTCGTCCGAATGTGCGATGATACACTTCGGGATAGTGCCGGATCTTCGGCGGCGGTGGTGGTGGCGCCAGAAACTTGGTCTCGCTAACGTTTTTGGTCGAAAACCCATCATTCCTCGTGGAGGAAAAATTAACCTCGGCCAATCTTGTGTATACACATCGTAAACGCAACGAACGTCATCTCGACATCGCACCACGCTACCGAGACTGTACCGCCGCCGTGAACGCGCGGATACACGTCGTCGGAGCATTGGCGTGAGCGGAATAAAAAAATAAATAATCTTATATGCAATTCCCTTCTTTTTTGCTTTTTCCCTCTTTTCCCCGTAATAATTTTTCCCTCTTCTCGACGACCACACCACGTCTTCCCTTCGACTCCACCACCACCACTATCAAAATGGCCTCAACCATTCCCCTCTCGTGCGTTGTTCGTCTAAGTATGAGTGCATGGGTACGTACTTAAACGTGTGTGTGTGTGTATGTGTGTGCTATGTAGCAAAAGAGTCGACACAACACCGTGGCCGCCAACACCGCGCCTCACCGTACCATAATTCGATGGCTTGCCGACGCGGTCGCGCGCATTCGTTCCGTGATCGTCCGCTAACCAAACGGCGGCGCTGCAGTCCGCGACTAGTACGCACGCGCACAAATGCCGATCGCGTTTTTCCCCCCGTGTGTGTATTCCAAAGACAATAACCAAACAACGCGAAACGCGCAGAGAATATCATTTATCGCGTAATCGCGTACGATTTTTCACCACTGCGGACTGTGCGTAAAATTGTTTTTGTTTTCGTTTTTCGCGTGTGTCTTTCACGTCGGCCGCTAATGGTGGTCGCGTCGTGATAAAATAGCATCAACAAAAACAACGTCGGCGGTACGCGCCTAATCACAACACTAGTCCTTCTCAAACCCGTCGTGTCGGCGTCCGATGTGATATTCAACGTACATAGCCAACGAAACACCGGGAAACGCAATGGCATCGGACGAGGAAGTCGAGGAGTCTTTTACCGGTAATAATTTAACTGTATACGTTTCCTCATGTTCTCCTCAGCTCAATTTGGATTTGACGCCAACAACGGTTTTTATTATGGTCTTTCTCTTCTCTCCGCCGACCAAAGCCGCCGGTTGTTCGACGTTGCGCGCGCGTACAGTCTGCTGCCGCCGCCGCCGCCGCCGCCGCCACCGCCACCGCCACTGATCCTGTCTTGTTCCCCTGCAATGTTAATTACCTCATTAGGGCCATTATCCGCCAGGTTTTCGCGAATTGGGCCAATCGTAAACAAAATGGTGGAACAATGTTGCGCCGCTGGTCATCGACGGTTTTAATATTGTACATGAATGAATTAATATTGTCGATAATTATCTAAGTACACCAGATCAACCTATCACCTCTCTACTTGTCGTTCCATCGATAATTTACTGTTTCATCGTGGCTTGTCAAAAATAAAAACGGTTTTTACCCTTTACCAATAACCTTCGATTTCTTCTACTGTTTACGGCATATTTTTTGGAAATTCTTATCAAGTTATTCATATTAAGAGATGACCTCCATATAGCAGTTCAATTTCTAAGGAATTTTCTCTTGCAACTAACCATTTATTTCTCAAAATATTAAGTGTATAATAATATAATAGAAGTTTATCACGTTTGTTTCGCATAGTTATTAAAAATAAATCTTAATGCTGGTAGAAAAAATTAACATGGATAATATGAAAATACATACTCGATACATTTTTTATATAATTTATAAAAATCATGACAATTAATCATGTTAATGATGCCTGGTATTTTAAAATACTATCAACTAAACAGCAAAATATTTACATCAGTCAACATCTGTGACAACTCATAGTTAATTAGTTTAAAAATACACTGCCATATTGGTTAATTAGATTAGAACATTCATTGCATACACAAGAAAAAATGTAGGTGAATGTACTAGATTATATATATATCATATTAACAGTATATACTTACTTACAAAGTTTTTTTTCATACCTATTTACTGAACCAAGTAATTGGTTGTCTATTTGAGCATAATTATTAAAAAAAAAAAAACCTTTAATTTGTTGGTTGATTTTAAGTTAAAGTATGTGTAATTGCATTTGTATGTATTTTTATATCAAATTTATTGTCTATCCACGCATTTGATATTTTATTTCTAATTTGATTTCATAATAGATCTGTTACTATTACACTTAAGTTTTACAAAATTCCCTTTCATAATTATTATTTACTTCTTAATTTTTATGAAATAAAATTATAGTTTTTACTTTTGTCATAATTAATTATTGAAATGTAATTTTTCATAGCTAGGAAATAAACATAAAAATGCATTATTTAATGTACTGAATTATAATATTTTCTTTATCATATATATATATATAGTAATGTATATATCATTAAGGAGATATTTAATATATATACACTAGTTATTTATACGTCTTTTACATTAGATTTTATTAGTTTTATATTTTATCATAGTTAATTGATATCTGTTATATTTATTTTTAGAAGAATATGATGACCCATCTAGTCGTGTAGAAAATTCATTTGATTCCGAGGAAGAAAAACGAATAGAGGTTAATACTATTATATTATTTGTTATATTATAATATAATTTTTCAATTAATTGATTATAATAAATATACTATATGGTTTATTTTATTTATAAGGAGGATGATGATGAATATGATCCTGATGGTCGTAAAAAAAAACGGGGTAAAAAACGTAAAGCAAAGAGTGATTCTAAAAAAGAAAAGAAAAAGAAGAAACGAAAAAGGGGTGGCGATAGTGCTGAGGTATTATTAATTATTTGTGAATTAAAAATTGATAATTTACAATTTAATTTATTTAGGAGAGTGATTTTGGTAATTTTGAAGAAGAAACTACAGCTGCTAATGATTCAGATTATTCTAACCGAAAATCTAAGAAATCTAAAAATTCATCTTCTAAACACCATCAACCAAGCACGTCTCAAGATAATAATGGCAGTATGACTTAATTTTATTTTAAATACATAAATAAAAAAAATTTAAAAATTATAATACTTTAATCTTTTTCTTTTTTTTTTTTTTTTTTTATAATTTTAGCTGGAATGCCATCAGTCGAGGAAGTCTGCCAAACATTTGGTTTACAAGATGTATCCATTGAGTACACAGATGCAGACTATCAAAACTTGACAACTTATAAACTATTTCAACAACATGTTAGGCCTATTCTTGCTAAAGAAAACCCAAAAGTAATTATTTATTAGTTATTTGAAATGGATTTTTATTTATAATATTACTCATTTTAATTTTCATAGGTTGTAATTGCTAAAATGATGATGTTAGTATCTGCAAAATATCGTGATTTTTGCCAACAAAACCCTCATCAAGAACAACCAGATTTTGAACTAGAATATCAGCCTAAGAGTTCTACATCAAAACACAAGGTATGTGAAGTAAAAGTAAGGATTTTTATTAAATAATTTGTTTAGTTATAAGTTTTTAATAAAATATGATCTAACTGTTAGTTTTATTATAACTATTTCAGTCTAGATCAGTGGATGAATTAGATGAGTTAGAGGAAGAAGAAGAAGAAGTAGAAGTCGAAGAAAAAAAGAGTAAAAAACGAAGTAATCGTGGAAAACGCAGTGGTGGAAGTGGTGGAAATAAAAGGAATTCTCAAGGATCTACCTCTAAAGTTCCCACATTAAAAATTAGGCTTGGAAAACGCAAACAAGCAAGTTCTGTTAGTTTAAATTATAAATTGATTTCTTAGGAAATTGTGAAAAGTTTTATTTCATTTTAAGAAATGTTTGTAATGCATTATTTGTTTGTTTAGGATGATGATGGAGAAGGTACAGCAGCTGGAGATACTCAAGGTGATTCTGATGCTGAGTTTGAACAAATGTTGCAAGAAGCTGAAGAAGGTGCAGCTGCTGAAGCTGAAGCTGCTGAAAAGAAAGTAGAAGATGTCGATACTCCTAAAAAGAAAGCAAAAACTAAAATTGGGAATAAGTCAAAAAAGAAGAAGAAAACTAAAATGACTTCCAAATTCCCAGATGGTAATGGTGATGGAGAAGATGGGTATGAGGTAGGTGTTTTTTTGTATATTTTTTATTGTTAATTTTACTATAATAAAATATATTTTGTATAAAATATTAGCAAACCGATCATCAAGATTACTGTGAAGTCTGTCAACAAGGCGGAGAGATCATCTTATGTGATACTTGTCCTAGAGCATACCATCTTGTTTGTTTGGATCCAGAATTGGAAGACACTCCTGAAGGAAAATGGTCTTGTCCACATTGTGAAAGTGAAGGTGGTCAAGAGCAAGAAGAAGATGAACATCAAGAATTTTGCAGGTAAATCTTTCCCTTTAAAACAATTTCAACTAATGAAGAAACTGAATATTAATTATTGATCTATTGTAGAGTTTGTAAAGATGGAGGTGAACTTTTGTGCTGTGATTCATGTCCTGCAGCTTATCATACATTCTGTTTGAGTCCTCCTATTACTGATGTGCCAGATGGTGATTGGAAGTGTCCTCGATGTTCGGTATGAATAATGTAAAATAAGTTAAAAAAATATATTAGTTTTTTTTTTTTTTTTTTATCTATTTAGGCAAAAACATTGCCTGGAAAAGTGTCAAAAATTTTAACATGGCGTTGGAAACCATTACCAGAAGATTCAACTAAGCCAGTTGATGAACAAACTGAAAAGATAAATAGAAGAAGAAATAAGCAACAAAGACAACGCGAATATTTTGTCAAATGGCAAGATCAAAGCTATTGGAAATGTGACTGGGTGTCTGAAGTTCAAGTAAATATGACCTTGTTTTCAATTTCTTTCTTTTTTTTTTTTTTTTAATTCTATATGCTCAAATAAATTTTTTAGATGGAAGTTTTTCATCCTATAACAATTCGAAGTTATATGCGGAAGTTTGATATGGATGAACCACCTAAATTAGAAGAACCATTAGATGAACTTGACAATCGGTGGAAAAGACTTCGTGAAGTTGGTGGAGATCAGTCTGCCTTGGAAGAAAAGTTTTATAGGTATAAGAATTAAATGCTAAATAATTAAACTGTTTAAAAAAAAAATCATTTTAGATATGGAGTTAAACCAGAATGGCTGTTAGTACATAGAGTTCTAAATCATAAGCATTTAAGAGATGGTCGAATGATGTATTTAGTAAAATGGCGTGACTTGCCATATAGCTCATCTACATGGGAACATGAAAATGCTGAATATACTGATTTAAAATCATTCATTGACTATTACTGGGTACAGTTTTTTTTTCTTTTAATAAACAAATATCTAGTATTAATTATTTTACAGGACTTAAGAGCATCTTGTGATCAATCAAAGAAAAATAAAAAGGTAAAAGGAAAGAAGAGTAGCAGCAAGAAAGATTCCATAGATGATGAAGAAACCCCTAAAGCAACAGTTGGACTTACTTGGTATGTTCAATTTTTAATAATTTATTAGTATGTAGTTACTGTTATGGTATTCAATAATTTACAATTTAAATATTAACTTGTTTCCATTCTTGTTCTTTTCCAACAATAATTTTTCGGGCTAATGTTGCAAAACAAACGTTTATTTTTATCAGTTACTATTTCATTCAAAATGTATTAGTTGGTCAGTTCAATATTAAGCATTACATAATTATAATTAATTTTAACATCAAGTGTAATTTATTCTTATTTGTACATAATTATATGTTTTTATTTTATATATGTATAAAAAGTATTTATATTCTTATTTTTTTCATAGCCAAATAATAATAAATTGTATTGCTTAATATTTTATTAAAAATGTAAAATAATGAAGTGTATTAAAATAGAACTTTTAGGTATAATTAAACTAGAGTATACTACAGAATAGTCAAGAAAGTATTAATATATAAAATAATAATATATTAGTTGAATTATAATTTTTATATATATATTTTCAGTCGCAAATTTGTACCAGCACCTGATAAACCTGTAACAGATTTAAAAAAGAAATATGAAAAGCAACCTGATTATGTAGTAGATACTGGCATGGAATTGCATCCTTATCAGTTAGAAGGTTTAAATTGGTTAAGGTATTCTTGGGGTCAAGGCATTGATACTATATTGGCTGATGAAATGGGTCTTGGAAAAACTATTCAAACCATTACATTTTTGTATTCCCTTTATAAAGAAGGACATTGTAAAGGCCCATTTTTAGTAAGTTTGTAAATTAATTCCCTTTTATATACTTTGTTACAATTATTATTATTATTTTTAGGTGAGTGTTCCACTCTCAACACTTATCAATTGGGAGCGTGAATTCGAAACATGGGCACCAGATTTTTATGTTGTATCATATGTTGGAGATAAAGATTCTAGGGTGACAATTAGAGAAAATGAATTTTCATTTGATGATTCTCGTTCTGGTGTACGTTGTCATAAGTTAAAAGGCACTGTTAAATTCCATGTTTTACTTACAAGTTATGAGCTTATTTCAATAGATGCACCATTATTAGGATCAATTGAGTGGGCTGTACTAGTTGTAGATGAAGCCCATAGGCTTAAAAGCAATCAGTCAAAAGTATTATAAAACAATATACGTTTGTTTACTTTATCTAAAACTTGAATTACAGTTTTTTAGGCTTCTGGCTGGCTATAATATACGTAATAAACTATTATTAACCGGTACACCTCTTCAAAACAATTTGGAAGAATTATTTCATTTGTTGAATTTTTTGACACCTGAGAAATTTAATGATTTAACAGTCTTTCAAAATGAATTTGCTGATATTTCTAAAGAAGAACAAGTTAAACGTCTTCATGAAATGTTAGGACCTCATATGCTCCGAAGATTAAAAGCTGACGTTTTAAAGGTATAATTTACTATATTTAATTTAGTACAACTATATTTTATCAATTATTTAATTTTAGAATATGCCTTCAAAATCAGAATTTATTGTTCGTGTTGAATTATCTCCAATGCAAAAAAAATATTATAAATATATATTAACTAGAAATTTTGAAGCATTAAATCCTAGAGGTGGTGGACAGCAAGTGTCTTTATTAAATATTATGATGGATTTGAAAAAGTGTTGTAATCACCCATACCTATTTCCTTTGGCTTCTCAAGAAGCACCAACAACAATCAATGGAAGCTATGAAATTGGTGCTCTTACCAGAGCAGCAGGAAAGCTAGTTTTATTATCTAGGATGCTTAGAAAACTTCATGAAACAAATCACAGGTATTTAATGAATTTGATTATTTTTATTAAGTTCAGTTAATAAGTATTTAAAATTTAAATTCATTGAAGAACCTAATTGACTTATTTTTATATATAGCATTTAAATTAATTATATGGTGGAGCAAAAGACCGTCCTGATTTGTTTAACTTATAAATACCAAACTAAGTCAATTATAAAAATAAATTTTTTTTTGTATTGTAAATTATTTTTATATATACATATAATGCCATTTTATTTTAACTTTTTTTAAAGATTTAAATCTTTAAGTGGTCCAAATATATTTATTCAGTCATTTTTAGTAGTTTGTTATAACTACGGGTTGTTTTAGACGTAATTCCAGTAACTTCCTGAGTTTTTTTCTCTTTTAAGACTTCTACAGTTTGGGATTGATGTTGGTGGTACACTTGACTTTTAAGGTAGCTTTAAAGGAAAAAAATAGTATTTGCTCAAATCTCATGAACACGGTGGTCATCCTTACAGAATACTGAGTGACTGATAAGCTGTGTGTGCAATCACACCATCTTGTTAAACAAGTTTCTCAATTTTTTTCACTTAATTTCTGAATCATCACAATTTTGTTAGGATGTTTTTTTAATTCTTTGTGTAAAATGTTCAAACACTGCATCGGATAACTGTGGAGCAGCTGCTGCAGAGATTTATCAACTGAAGCTTGATCGTAGGTCAATCAGTTGGTTTTATTTTTATTGCAGAACCTGTTTGTCTAAAATTTAAGACACTAATCGATATCAATCAACTACTTTTTTTAATAAATTCCTCGACAACAAATACACAATATTCTCCTGATCAAGCAATGATTATAACTATTAATTACATACATAAAGCTTTCTATCAATATAGGTCCCATTAATTGATCTCAATCTGAATCCAAATTACAACCATACTAAACTAGAGAGATATTTTTGCGCATTCTGTATATTTATAATATATTTTATTCTATAAATATGATTTCTATCTTATCTAATTTAATTTTTAAATTCTTTTAGAGTTTTAATATTTTCTCAAATGACAAAAATGTTGGATATTCTTGAAGATTATCTTGAAGGAGAAGGTTATAAGTATGAAAGAATTGACGGTTCTATAACAGGTAATCAAAGACAGGAAGCCATCGACAGATTTAATGCTCCTGGTGCTCAACAGTTTGTGTTTTTACTCTCAACAAGGTACTTTAGAAAACTATTATTATCGAATTAATGATAATTTATGCACTTTGTAAAAGTTAAATTTTATGTACAAATATTATGATTAATAGAGTTTAAAATATTAGTTTAATTAAAAGTTTAATTTTTTAATAATATTTTTAATGTTCTTTTAATAGTAGTTATTTATTTATCTATTGTTAATTTCTTCTTTTTAAGGGCCGGTGGTTTGGGAATTAATTTAGCAACTGCTGATACAGTTATTATTTATGATTCTGATTGGAATCCTCATAATGATATACAAGCTTTTTCAAGAGCTCATCGTATTGGTCAAGCTAATAAGGTAATAATTTATTTTAAATTCATGTACCTGAGTTTTAATGATCATGCTACTAATATTATATCAATTTTAAATATATATTATAGGTTATGATATATCGTTTTGTCACAAGAAATTCTGTTGAAGAAAGGGTTACTCAAGTTGCCAAAAGAAAAATGATGTTAACTCACTTAGTTGTTAGACCTGGTATGGGAGGAAAACAAACCAATTTTACGAAACAGGAGTTGGATGATATATTACGATTTGGGACTGAAGAACTGTTTAAAGAAGAAGAGGTATAAATTATAAATGTATTTTTAAGATAAATTTGAAATAACAATCATAACCCAGAAAAAGTTAGAAGAGAAAAAGAGTGTCACAATGACACAAGATAGCCTTTTATATTTTAACCTTTATATAATTTTACTAATAACTTGTTGACAATTCTATGGCATAATTTAATAAACCATATAACTTCAAATAAACACGGATTATTCAGTATTATATGTTGGTAGTATTTTATTAAATATCTGTTATTAGAATGTTTTTATAAGCATTAGAATCTTAAATGTAAAAACTTTTAAAAAAACATGAAAGTCATAAATATTTTTTTAATTAAAAATGTATAAAACTTAACAATTTTGATACTTAAGGTTTGAAAATTAAATACATAACAAGTTGTTATTTGTAGTCAATAAAAATAACCTTTTTTTTAAAAAAACTGAAATGGCTCTTATTTAGTCAATTTTGAACTTAGAGCCATAGTTGATATATAAAAATGATTTTAAAAAAAATAGGCCTATACAAATATTGTGTTTAAAATAGGTGTTGTAATGAAAATAACAAGTACCGCGCATAAGCATACTGAAATGATAAAAAATTTATATGTATATTTTTATGTCGCTAGATTCTAAAATACACTTTAATTTATTCAATGTAATCCAGGCTAGAAATTCAGAGTTCCCCAAATTAGTGAACACATGATATATCTTTAAGACTTAGTGGCTGATTTTTCTGTCCTTTTCACTTGTAATAAATTTTTTTGGAATCAATAGTACATTGATTTTAAATTTATTAGAACAATTCAATTTTACTTATCACTCATCCCTTGTATCACTTTTTTTCCATTTGAGGAGTATCGTTGTTTATATAGTTCATGATCCTAAGTTAACTGAATATATTTAATGTTTTAGGGTAAAGAAGAAGAAGCTATTCATTATGATGACAAAGCTGTCGAAGAGCTATTAGATCGTTCTAAAATTGGTATTGAACAAAAAGAAAATTGGTCAAATGAGTATTTGTCATCCTTTAAAGTTGCTAGTTACGTTACTAAAGAAGAAGATGAAGAAGAAGAAGCCAATACAGAAGTTATTAAACAAGAAGCTGAGAATACTGATCCTGCATATTGGGTAAAATTACTTCGTCACCATTATGAGCAACATCAAGAAGATATTTCTCGAACATTGGGTAAAGGGAAACGAGTTAGAAAGCAGGTAAATTATATTTATTAAAAACATTTTATAAGCTATTACTTTTTTGTTTTTATATTATTTTCATTAATTGTATATTTCAGGTTAATTACAATGATGGAGGTGGTGTAGTAGACTCTACTCGAGAAGATACTACTTGGCAAGAACACTTGTCTGATTATAATTCAGATATTTCTGTTCCATCAGGTATGATTTCCAAAATTCAAAAAATTCTTTTTGTTTCTGATATTTTCTAATTTAAAGATGATGATAAAGAAGATGACGACTTTGATGAAAAGGATGGAGAAGTTAAAAAACTTAAACGTAAACCTGAAAGAAAAGAAGATAGAGATCGGCCTTTGCCTCCTTTATTAGCTAGAGTTGGTGGAAACATTGAGGTAAGTTAAAATTATAATAACAAAATATAAATTATTAGTCCAAAATTAGGTAATGCAGAACAAACATTTGAAATTTTAAAATGTCTTGTTTACCTTTTTGGTATATTAAAAGAAAGAAAATTAGAATAATGGCACTTTAAGTATTCTGTGCATTAATTAAAGGCTTTTTTCAACATAAAAGTTGCTATTATAATGAAAGTATAAAAAATAAATTTTATTTATGGTTTTTAGATATAATTAAAGTATATAATTGTATTGTTCATATTATAAAATGTTTATACTATTCCCTAGGTACTTGGATTTAATGCTCGTCAAAGAAAGGCTTTTTTAAATGCAATTATGAGATATGGAATGCCACCTCAAGATGCTTTTAATTCTCAATGGTAATATTCAATTTTAATATTATGTAGAAAATGTTAATTTTATAATATTTTTTATTTTATAAAACACAATCAGGCTTGTAAGAGATTTAAGGGGTAAATCAGAAAAAAATTTCAAAGCATATGTTTCATTATTCATGCGTCATTTATGTGAACCTGGTGCTGATAATTCTGAAAATTTTGCTGATGGTGTTCCTCGTGAAGGTTTAAGTCGACAACATGTACTTACTAGAATTGGTGTGATGTCCCTTATTCGTAAGAAGGTAAGTGATATATTTATTATATTTATGTTGTTTAAAGTAAAATATTTTAAATTGAAATTATAGGTTCAAGAATTTGAAGAAATAAATGGTTTCTACAGTATGCCAGAACTTATTCGTAAACCCATACAAACTATAAAAGCAGCTGATGCGTCTACTAGTTCCACACCATTACCACGTTCTGAAGCTTCAACACCTACTACTACTGTGTCTGAAAAAGTTGAAGTTGAAACTGAATCTAAACCTTTGGTAAGACATTTTATTATAAGATATTGATTTTTACAAAGTAATCTATAATTATTTGTGTATTATACATTTTTAGGATACTGATGAAAAATTAAAAGCAACATTAGCAACTCCTGAAATTAAGTCTGATGAAGTAACATTAGAAGAAGGTACTCCTATTGTAGTTAAAACAGAAAATGAATTATCTGCTAAAGCAGAGACTAAAGAAGAATCAAGTGTAAGTCTAAATTTATGAAATTTTATTCAGTATTTATCAGATGATGACATTTTTTTTTGCAATGAGTATTTATGATAAATTTGCTGCTAGATAGTATCTGATGTGATAAATACTAATAATTAAAAGTAATATTATTGTATAATAATAAATTTTTTACTCCTTGCAATACACTTATTTGAAATAAGGATTATATTTTTCTAATTCAAAAATAATAGCAACAATTTCACATGATGATTAATATTTATTTCAGAATGTTTAAAATTAAAAAAATTAATTAGGTATATACAAATTTACTATTAAGTATTATTTTAGTAGTTTACAGTGAGTATACTCATATTTACTATTGGGCAGAATAGGCTACTAACTGTCTATAGCCTTCATTATTTGAGAGGGCATAGGATTTGTATGAACTTTTTTTTTTTTTAGAATACAATTTTCGTTGTATAAAATAAATATAATATTTAAATAATAATAATAATTATTATTATCAATGTTTTTTTTATTTAACCTAAGGGCCTCAAAATGTCTAAATTAGGCCCTGGCCATCGGTATTCAGAATATTATTTGTTAACTAATCAGATATGATGACATATTTTTTGCAATGAATTTTATTGATATATTTGCTGCTAGATAGTATCTGATCTGATGATTATTTTAATTATTCTTTAATATACTAATATTTTAATGTAATTTATATATATATATATATATATTTTAGGTTATTTGTAAAGAAGAACATGGAGCACTAGATCTTCAAAAAGAAAAACCACAAGAGGAAAAAATAACAGAAAAAGAAAATACCCAAGAAAGCACTACTGTTGATATTAAAGCCGAAGTGCTTGATACACCAACAGAACAAAAAGAAACTAATTCAATAGGAACATCTGAACTTGAAAAAAAAGAAGAAGAAAAAGGATCTGAACCGCTTGTAACTGAAAATAAAGAAGTATATATAAAAATATTAATTATTTAATAATAATAATATATTCACCAATAACAGAATGATTTACAATATTTGTTATATATATACACTATATTGGTTCACTCACTAAAGCCTATGGCTGGAATTATTGATTCTTACTAATATAATTTTTTGTTGAATTTTAGGAAGAAAAGAAATCTGCTGAAGCTACCGCAAAAGCATTGCAAGCAGATGATGAAGCTAAGAAGAAATTATTAGAAGAAGCGGAAAGAGCTAAAATAGCTGCTGGTATTGGATCGGAAAATGATAAAGAAGATAAGATAACTAGGAAGTTTATGTTTAATATTGCTGATGGTGGTTTTACTGAACTACATACATTGTGGGTAAACGAAGAAAAAGCTGCAGTCCCTGGGCGTGAATATGAAATCTGGCACAGAAGGTAAATATTTTTATTTTTAATTAAAATAGTCTCAAAATATGTTTTATTTTATAAATTATCTTTTCTCAAGGCATGATTATTGGTTATTGGCGGGTATTGTAACACATGGCTATGGTCGTTGGCAAGATATTCAAAATGATATTCGATTTGCTATTATCAATGAACCGTTTAAAATGGATGTAGGCAAAGGAAACTTTTTAGAAATCAAGAACAAATTTTTGGCAAGAAGATTTAAATTATTAGAACAAGCTCTGGTAATTGAAGAACAACTTAGACGAGCTGCTTATTTGAATCTTACACAAGATCCAAATCATCCAGCAATGTCATTGAATGCTAGGTTTGCTGAAGTAGAGTGCTTAGCTGAATCACATCAACACTTGTCCAAGGAAAGTCTAGCAGGGAATAAACCTGCTAATGCTGTTCTTCATAAAGTATAGTAATTTTATTTTAATTCTTTATTCTGTTACTAATATTTTTATTATTGTAGGTGTTGAATCAGCTCGAAGAACTTTTGTCAGATATGAAGTCTGATGTAAGCAGATTACCTGCAACATTAGCTCGTATTCCACCAGTTGCCCAAAGACTTCAAATGTCTGAAAGATCAATATTATCACGTTTGGCTGCTACTACATCTTCAGCCACTTCTACTACCCAGCAACAACCTGGAGGTAAATTTTATTTTTCATTTAAAATGGAATAATATTTTACCACAAATGATAAATTAATTTTTTTGTAGTCGGAACAATAAGTAATCAATATCCTAATGGTTTTCAAAATGGACAATTAAATGGTGCATTTGGCAATACAAATTTCACTAACTTCAGACCCCAGTATTCAGTTCCTGGACAACAAACATCATCATCTAGCACTGCATAAGTTACATTTCATATTCATCAAAAACCTTTTTTATTATTTCATTTCTAGATCTCTACATCTAAAACAGAAAAACATTATTTTAACCATCTTTATTGTATACTCTTATTGAGTTAATATGATGAGTCCTGTAACCAATTGTATTTAATTTACTTATTTATTATATACTACAAAGGTTGAGTTTCTATTGAATGCCATTGTAAAAATTAATAAGAAATGTACTTTTTTTCCAGGAAATTAGTGACCAATTAATTTTGCATTGTGTACACAGTGTCTAAAAGTCTTAAATACTGTACATAAATTTTATTATCAATAAATTGGACAATTACATTAGATTAAAATTTAAATGTATTTACTTAATAATTTTTTTATAATATTTAATTTATTATTATTTTTTTTTTTTTTTTAAGGGTTTTAGATTGTAATATAAGGAATTTTTTTCATTTCATAATTGATGATACTTAAGTAAAACAATAAAACAGCTGGATGTGTCAGAAGTACACTGCAGTCTTGAATATTTCATTTGTCTTTATTTTTATTTTATTGATAAGAGATAAAGAGATAAATCTACCTAGTATAAAATCTGTATTAAACTAAAATTATGATTACGATTGTAAACAATAATATTCATATATTGTTTTAACCTTACATTTTCGTACACTATATATATTCTTACTTACTTATTTGTACATGTCTAGAGGAAATTTCATGTGCCTTTTGATGTATAAACTTTTTACAAAACCAATAGCATATTTATTAAGATGCATAATACATACCCAACCAAATAGCTCATACAAATTGTCATCCAGGCATTCCTGATTTTATCATCACCTTGCTATCAAACTGCTTAACAAAAATATAAATAACCTCAAAGAACTCTCCAGTTTTATTCTACTAAGGCATTTGAACATAATATCTTGTATTTATGTAATAGATGGTTTACTACACAAGAAATAATTTGAAATTCTTATTATATAGACTTTGCCCTCTTGTCTTTTGATAAATTATTCTATGCACGTATTCAAAACTAATGGTGATCAAATAATTAATATATTAAATGATTATAATATATTACAATGAAATGGTTAGGTATATGTTTATGTGTGAAATATTAACTAATACTGTAATAGATGAGTATGGAATATGTACTATATCACTTTATCTATAAATAATTTCATAATAATATTGTCACCAGATAAGTATTATTTATTGATATTATAGACGAAAATCAAGACTATATCAGACCTAACATTTTATAAAAATTCTGAAAACTTCTCCACTGAACCCTAAAATCTCTTGGGTTGCCGTCGATCAGCTGTATAACTCGGTTTAAGGTAAGTAATAAATAATTTCTTCTTATTTTCTTAAGAGACAAGAAAACATTATTTAAGACTAAGAAATCTGAATTCCCTAAAGCATTATTCTCACCAAAGCAACTTGCAACTGCAACTCATTGGGTTACAATCAAATATAAATTGCATTGCGGTCAGTGTTCTCATCGAGGCAATTGTTTTTGATAATGTTGTTGAGTCTCACTCTCGCTCAGTTCATCTCAATAGTCGTTATCTATGACTTAGTCAGTAATTTAAAATTTTCCGCGTAATTTTCTTAATTTTTTCTTTCATAAGAACCTTTTTCTGACAATAAAAACACTACAAAAAAATAATTGGCGAAATCAGTCCAGCCGTTCACGCGTGATGGCGTGACCAAGGGAAATAGGGATTCATTTTTATATAGGTACCTATATAGAAGATAGATAGATAACTTATCCATTTTCATAAAAAAAGTATTATATTAAAATGTATTTCATTAGTCGAAACTGTATAATAAATTAAAAATATACTGACTATATCTTCCCAAGCTTTTTCTTTTTTATCCGTTCTGCTATAACTTGCAGGCGTTATGTCATAAAGACAAGTATGTTGTTCGACTTTTTGAACAAACAAAATATTTCATTTTTCCTAATTAGCCATAATTAAAATGTTAAATATTATTTAATATTATACAATTAATATAATATGGTTATGTGGTGATACGGTGGTAATTTTTATGAAACTGGAGACTAAAACCGTGCATGTCGATTTGGTTTAAACGGTTCAAATAAGTTTCGTGCAAATTACATCACTTTTCAGTCGCGTTATAATCGGTAGGAACATGTTCATTAGTTTTAGTGCGCACGGTCGCGTTGCAGTTGGGTTTCAATCGAGTTGCAGTTGCAAGTTGCTTTGGTGAGAACAATGCTTTACACGTCGTTTATGCGCATTCGAATAGATTATATCGTTGATTTTAAATACCATGGCGATATTTTTTAACCATGTCCATTAGGTACTTGAATTTAAGGATTCCAGATTTATTTTTTTAAAAATACAGGAAATTTTAAATCATATTTATACATAAAATATATATCGATATTAATTAGAGTTGAGAAAAGGCGTAGTCCCTCAAAATTCAAACATTATAATTTGGCTATAATTTTTAATTTTAAAAAATAGATTCCAGGGTTTTTTATCTGAAAAATAGTTAAATCATTTTTTTTTTCTAAAACATATTAAATACTAATATACCTACTAAAATAGTAACTATATAAGTAATATCTTAAAAGACAGCTGTAATTTATTTTTCAGATTTTTGTTATCATAATCGATTCCATTCAATGTATAAATAAATAAACAAATAGTTTGTACATAGAAATAAATCAATTATTAGCCTGGAGTTTTATTATATTTATTTATTTCTATCTATAGGCTATTTATTTATTTACCGTAGACTGACTACACCGCATGAAAAAACTGAGAAAACTAAACATAACTGAGGGAAAAACTATAACCTACACACCTTCAGTTCTGATAACAGTACAATTTTTACTCTGTTAATGTTACAAACTACACAGTTAAACGATCGTGTGCCTTAATTAAGAACCTTAACTCTCAACCATGGTTTAATGACAAAAATCTTGATAAATAGTGTATCTAAATAATACAGAAATAATATAAAATTGTTGTTTATCAGGGAAACCTGTCAAGCCCTCTTAAAATGGCAAACTAAAATTTTGGCGACTAAAAGTTTCCATTCTGATTTAATATATTTTGAGGTGGGACTGCAACAGAGTCGCGTCGTTATCAGATCGCGTCCAAGCTGCTGGGACTGTCACAGTTATACTCTTCTTAGGTACTCGATTCTTATGGATTGGTTTCCAATGAACAGCAGCTTTGCGACTATGAATGGGCCGCTACGACACGCAGCTTTATTCAGTGGAAATTAGTGTACAGTGATGGTCCGTTGCGCAACCAGGATTGGTTTTTGGGAAGGGGGTATAAGGAAGTAAGATTAAGTTAGGTTTATGAGTGAAATATTTAAATTACAAATTAAACTGTTTAACTTTTATTTCGTATTGTAATACCACAAAAAAAAGTATTATACAATCGACTATCCAGAATTCGTAGTATCAAGGTTATTGATGTTTTAAAGTTGAATGGAACGTTACAAAACGTTCCATATCGTCATATTATTATTGTTATCAGTTATAATACGAATAATATTTATATTTCATATCAATCAGCCGTTTTACGTGTTCAAAATAAATCATATTTTTTCCTACGTAGAATTTGTAAAAATCTCAGAAAATTTTCGGGGGGGGGGGGGGTGGTTAAATCTCTCAAACCCCACCAATAGTTGCGCCACTGGTGACGGTCGCCAGCGGATTTTACTATTAATTTCTATTTTATACTATTAAATACCATGGTCAAATCATAAAACTTTTCCTAAGTCGTATTTTTGCCTGATCAAGAAGAAATATTAATTGTTGAAATACGTAATAATCTTGTAGCTATGCGGCTAGGTGGTTTAGTTAATTCAAACTCAACAACGGATAAAAATAATTGAACTGTTGGCGATTGATCCAAAAAAATCGCTAAATTTTATTTTGTAATTTAATAAATGTCTTTCAATTAAAATTTCAAAAAACCTTCAGTTTTACAACTTCGTTGTAGAGTCATAAAAACCGTCAGCCTTTTTTTTTTTTGATTTAAAACAATTTGTCTTCCTTTTCTACTTTCTCCAATAATAGCTAAACAATTTTATTGTTATTAACAATGTATGTATTGACCAAATTGAATACTAGAACACAGGACAAATAATTTATCTACTAGGCAATACTACGCGAATCATGACATAGTGGTCTAATCGGTCGAGAAACGGATGAAACGACTGGCTACAAACGAGTTGTGTCCCAAATACGGAGTTGTGTTCGGTGTATATTTTTGGGTTACAGGAATTATGTTCTGAAAAATAAAATATCAGGTATCTATAGAAATTGATATATTTTTCAATTATAATATTACACATATATTATGTATATAACATTTTATACAAGTATAAAAGTTGTTCCGTTAATTTATAATAATAATAATAATAATAATAATAATAATTGATAGTATTTGAAAAAACAATATTTAAAAATATAAGAATTTGTAAATAATAATAATCATAAACGTACAATGACAACCTTTGTAGTTCCACGCACACCTTATCACTACACAACAATAATGGTCAGAATCAAATTTTATTCAGTAAAAGTCTTATACAATATATATACCTAGGTATTTATTTATCAATATAATGGAAACATTTCTGGATTTGAATTTATAAATACATTTTTATTTCAATTTACGAAACAACATATTATATCCTTGTGTAAAATATCAATTTAAATTTACCTCGCTTTTAGAGACACAACTCGTGTACCCCACCTTTATAATTGGGACACAACTCGTGTATTCCACTTTTATTATTAAGATACAATTCGTAAACTGCGAAACGACTGTACTACCGTTTCAATTCTTATAGATAGGAGGTAAAAACAAAATTTGGAGGGAATCGCCACAATAATGGTTTTTATACGGAGTTCGGGAGATTAGTCTCAGTCACCAGGTGACACTCAAAGGTCAATTCCTATTGGTCCGGGCCGAATCCCATCCGGATTTTAAAAAATATTTTATTATTGATTTTACATCTAACAATTCACATTTGTCCGGGCTGAGCCCAGACCGGACCTCCTGCTGAATCCGGGTCGAAAAAA